TTGTTATCAAATCATATATAAAAACTATTCCGCTTTCAATTCGTCGTCTATGTAAACTTGATACTCGCATATCTTCACATCTGTCTTTGTAAGGTCTCAAGCGATGATCATCCGTTCTTGTTTCGGTGCGTTGTACACGTATTAAAAATTGTTTTTGTATCGATTCGATTCTGTCTGAGTGAACCAAGGTACCCGGGTTGTAAACAACACTAGCATAATCTAGGTGTGAACGAACAAGACTCATGTAAAGAGTGCGCATGGTGTCTTGTGAGAAAATTCCGTTGCTCAAGCGTGTGATAAGCGCTAACATGCTTTTTGCTTTGTTCACTTGTTGATCGATGTGTGGTATCATTGATAATTTGCTGTCGATGACTATTCCTAGGTCTCTATGCTCAGTAGTTTTTGTGATGAGTTTGTTGTTTAACGAATAGTTGAAGTCAATTGGTTTTGTTTTCCGCGACAATGTCATTATATAACATTTGCTTTCGTTTATCTCGAGCTTATTTTCAGAGCACCATTTCGTAAAATCATTGATGGCCATTTGAAGTATGTATGCATCATTTATACAGTTGATTTGTTTAAATATTTTTGTATCATCGGCAAAGCTCTCTGTTATTGCTTCCTTTATGCTATCGGGAAGGTCATTTATAAAAGCAGCGAAACATGTTGGTGATTGGTGTCCTCCCTGGATTATTCCAGACGTAATAGGTATTTCTGTTGAAGTTCCCTTGCCCAACTTTGTGATTTGTGTCCTGTCTTTTAGGAACGATCATTGCCATTTAATCATCGATTTACTCAATCCCAAGAACGCCAGCTTTGTTATCAATTTTAAATGTTGCACTTTATCGAAAGCTTTGGAGAAATCAGCGTAAAATACATCCAATTGTTTGTTGTCTTCAAACGCCTTGTAACCATGTTGTGTTAATTCTAGTACATTTGTGCTTGTATTTCGTTTTTTAACAAATCCGTGTTGGTGAACTGTTATTTTGTTGTCGAGAGTTTTGTTTAATCTTTTCGTCATGAGTTTATCAAGTATCTTTGCCAAACAGGGTGGAATTGAAATTGGGCGATATTGTTTTATTGAACTTCTTTGTCCGCTCCTAGGGGCTTTTATGTATATGAATATACGAAATATTCACATAATATTCACAATATACACGTCTTATTCATCATATATACGGCATAAATCTCTAGTGAATATTTCGTATTTTCTACTGTATGTTGTGAATATTCACAGTAAGCGACACAGGAACGAAGAAAGTCCGCACTAAAGAGAATGACAAAATATGTATATTTCATATATACAGGAAATATTCACGAAATATTCACGAAATATTCATCAAATTTATGCAATTATACACATTTATTTGTGTATATTCTTTATATACATACAATATTCATTGAATATTCAGCATTATGTTTCAATATTTACTGAAATCGTAGTATTCATTTTAACATAAAAGCCCCTGGGTCCGCTCTTATGGATTGGGATAATTTTCATTCGTTTCGATACCTTTGGTACTTCGCCCATTTGTAATGTTTTGTTGAAAATAGCCCAGATAACACTGACTAGACTTTGAGCACAATTTTTCAATAACATAGGGTGTATTCCGTCTAAGCCGAAACCTTTTGTAATATCAATTTGTTGTAGCTCACTTAAAAGTTCATCGGCAGTAATGGGTTCTATTTCCTCGACTGAGGTGACATTGTTGAGAAGCTCATCGAAAGAAAATTCTGTATCTTCTGGGGTAAAAACCGACGCAAAAAATTCATTAAATAATTGGGCGGCGTCATTTTCGTTGTGTGTTTCTTTATCTCCAAATTCGAAGTGGTCAGGGTAACTTTTGGTTTTCCTATGCGAGTTTATGTAGTGCCAGAATTTTTTAGGGTTTGCTTTGCACATTTGATTTTGCTCTTTTTGGTACTCATTGATGCGTTTATTGTTTTGTGCATAAAATTCGTTGTTAATTGCATCATATTCGATGGAATTTCCTACCTGATTGATACGTTTCCGAGCTTTATCTCGTCGGTTTTTGAGATTGATTAATTGATTATCGAACCATGGTGGGTGTTTTTCGCTTATTGTTTTGGGAACAATTGATGGAATAAATTGATCTATGCATTCATTCATATTGTCATAGAAAAACTTGGAATTTTGGAATATTCGTATGACCAACATCGGATTGAAGGAATCAAAATGGTAATTCGATGCGAGGTGCAAACAAATATTGCACTTGTTGTGCCACAAAAAACCAATCTAAAACGCACATAATTGTTTCGCCGTTATGACAAGACATATTCACCACCTATATTTGACATGTTAGCATAAATTACGAAATTTGTATGCATAATTTGTGTTTTGTCGTTTTGTTTTCTTTCGCTCTCTTTCCTTCTCTGTTGGTCCGCGTCGATGTACAAAATCAGTTTGAAACGAATGCGCCACATCACCATGTTCGATTAGATGATTCGTTACACGATAATTTGGCCAAAAAAAAATCAGAACACCATACAAAATGTATACACATATTGACATGCGAGCAGGTTTCGGCACACATCCATTCTTTGAATATTGTGTGCACAGTACAGTGCCATGGTGTCAAAGTTAAGCGTTAATGCTTTTGATTCTGCTGAATCGTGTTGATTTTCCACAGTGCTAATATGCGTTACTTACCGCATGTTTTTTTCGCTTCATTCCTCTTCTTCATTCATAACATTTTTTTTTGTTTCTCTCTGTGTTTGTTATGCATTGTGAACCATATCTAAAGTAACATTTGTATTTTCTTATTTCAATATTTGTGCTCGATTTGCTTTCATAAGTCATCTGTATTTAGCATTTGATTTAGATGATCATGATGATTATGATGGTTCGCAGTGGCTGGCCTGTCACAAATGCTTTATTTATGGTCCATCCAACTATATATTTGATGAACAGTTTTTTTTTCACGTTTATCTGAGCGATAAGTGGGTCAAATCAAATGAAACAAGAATTGAAATGTATATTCTTCTTTCCTCTGAATTGTAAAATAGATAACTTTAAATTTAAAGATGATAACGAAGTGTGACTTTTCCTTTTCTCAACATGCCGAAAAAGTCAAGAAAAAAATCAATTACCGAAATGTTGGCGTATGCCTCACTCATTCTCGAATTGTGATTTTCAGCTGAAAATCTGCAGCCGACAGTATTATAATAGAAGTCAGGCGCACACACATATTTAACCATAACAAAGCTACAAGGAAAACAAATGTATTTTTGTTGAAAAGCGCACATTTATCTTTTAATGGGTAGCATTTTTATGGTTTGAAAATGCACAATTGTCCCAATAACGTTCTATGACTACACAGTTATACAATCGCCCATTTATAAATGAATGTTATGAGCACTATGCGTTTCAATGCTCATTAATATTGCACGAGATTTTTTTTCCAAAAAGGGGATTTAAACTGGTGAAAAATCAAACAAAACCATCATCCAGCATACTTTTTTTTTCTTCTACCGACTGAAATGAAAAGAAACAAAAAAAAAAACAGTATCTACAATAACAAGCCAGAGTTTAGATTCTAAACTTTAGAATATGTACACATACAAATGGTATTTGTGCATAAAACAGCTGTAGGTTCAATTTTTGCATGCTTCACGCTAAATTTAGACAACAAATCACAATCTTTATGTACGTCTGCACAGCTCTCTGGCCTAATAAATAATCGCTTATGAAATGTTTTAAACCGGCTTCATTATGGATTCTATATAACCACACATCGTACAACCCCGAATTGTTCGGATCTATCCCCATAGCGATTGTCTCTTTATATTTGTCATCAGACATTCACATCAATTTTTCCTTCCACTGTCATTGTGTCGCATACATATTTTCCATCACGATGGAAACCGACTTTTTCATTCGTTATATGAAAATCGAAATCTAAAATGAGTTAAAATTGAATAGATGCAGAAAGAGAGAGGAGAAACAAGCATATACACGTTTCTTTTTCTGTCGAAAACAATCAACTGCCACACACCCAGTTTTTTCTGCTCTTGTCAAAAAAAACCTTTTCTATGTAAAAAAAAAAAACAAAATACAATAAAAATTTGATACGCTTTGACAATGTAATCAGCATTGTAGTTTTTCATTTGCTGCAAAGGTGTTAATTTCATTTGAGAATCCGTTTTTTTCTGTTTTCGAATTTCTTCTGAAATATAAGTTTTCGTTTTGATTTGTGTGTCAATTTCGATATTAGTCCATAATACATATTGAAAACGGAAGTAATCATTTTGATAAGGTTCTCTTTTTTCTCCATTTTTGAGTGCATCGCGGATTACTTGTAACTTTTAACATGGACAATTGGAATAGATCGGGTTTTTTTTTTCAAAAATGTTTAATTCAACACTTAATTTTTCTTGTCGACATTTTTTTGTATGCTCATTGAGCACTTTTTACACCGGTTTCCTTATTATAAACACTAAACTTTCAAGATGTGTTGTGTGGCACTTTCGATAGATGTCGCTATTAGAAGCAAAGAGAATCCACGATGCAAAGTGATGCACAAATTTCTTGCAGGCTTGCATCTTATTTGAATTATACATTCTCATTGAAACTTATATTCTTCTCCATGCATCTGAAGCATTTTCTTCAGCCAATTTTCTTCATATATATAGGTAAAAGAGAAATTAAAAAATCTTATGTTTGCAACAAAATGTTTCATCCTTTTATTATTTTCACATTAACCCATAATAATAAATCATAAATCGTGGGTATAGTAAGTGGACTGCTTGACTTGAATCACATGTGGCTTTATATATAAAATTGTTAAGAGAAATAATAACCAAATTTATTTAACTCAATTATTCATGTGATCAAAGAAAAAAAAACTAAAATGTGACTCAAAAGAAGGCAAATTATGGAGACAATATATAATTGTGTGTAAATATAATTTATCTTTAAAATTGGTTTTGAAATTTTTATTTTGTTTTCCTTTTTTTTAAATTCATAATCTTCGTTTATCTCGGGTAATTAAGTAAAATTGGCATAAATTTTATTATTCTTATTATTACGACTTGGACATTTATATAATAATTACGATAAGTTGATTATATTTCGATGAATATTATTATTTTATTTTTCTCTCAATATTTTGATTGAACTGAGTCTTCCTTCTTATCACATTGTTCGTCATTTTCGTCACCGATGATTTCGATTGCTGTATCTGGTTTATTGGAAGCACTATTTTCTTGAACTTGATTCGTATGTTCGTTCAAGAGTAATGATTCGATATCATCTTTATCGTGTTTTGTCGACGCTGACAGACATTTATTTACAAATGCGCCAGCTGTATTATTGCTTTCACCATTTCGTTTATTGGCAGCGATTTGTTGTATTTCCAAAGCGCGCAAATAAAAATTGGTACCGCTACACGAATTGTCGGAAATCTTTCGTAGTGTACATGGCAGGCTGACAGCCTATTAAAAAATTAAATAATAAATCAATTAAATACGAATTACTCAAGATTTTACAAAGTTTTTAGTTCAATTCGAGCATTTTACGAACCCTTTGTCGGAGTTCACATGGTGCCAAATGGTCTCTAGAATTGTTCAGCGCTTCAACGCATGGATTATGATGTTTTGATACTTCCGCATTTCTTTCAGCTGCGCTCGAACTATTTGCTTCTGATTGTGATTGCATATATTGTTGATAGGCATTGAAATCACGTATGGCCGTTGATGCATTTGACTCAACTGAATGTCTTCTTAATGTATTCTAAAGTGTGAATACATTTAATTTAATATGTCACCAAAATCAACATTTTTTTTACAATAACAACATAAAATAAATACTTACATCGGTGTCTAATTGAATGATGAACGTTGGACTAACGCTATGTGCCCGATTTATTTCATTGCTATCGCCGACATCTTCAACATCCATATCCAATTGTAAAATGCTCTCTTGACTGCCCGTAAACTACAATGTTTATGTGTGATTTGTGATTATTTTTGAATTATTGAAATCATCGTGCACACACAATTGATGTTCGACGCGTAACGTTCAGACATACAATAATAAATGAGAGACAATGTGATTACATTTATGATAACTTGATTTTTTTGCATCTTTTTTTGTTATATGGAATTTTTTGCATAATTTATAAAAAAAGATAAACAAACAAAACTAGTACTCGTTATGGCACATATAAAATTATCACTATTATCTTAGCTTCTAACGATTTTTTTTTTGGGAACTATAAATAAAATGCGAAATTTAATATGCATCACAAATACATTTGAAAGGAAATACATTCAAATTCTATTTAATTTTTTAAATGTCGAAGTAATACATGTGATGATAATAATAGCACTGTGCCTCATCATTATTTACGTTCTGTTATTTGGAAAACAAAGAAATAAAAAAAGAAACAAAACTTTAATCGAACTTGTAAAAGACGTTCATCAAATTTCATTCGAATTATTTAAATTGTCAATGATACATGATGAGAGAGGGAAATCACATTTTTTCATAATAATTTTTATCCAGTGATTTTCCTCCATATTTGAATAATAATGAGTTTTATGATTTTTGTTTTTCAAAATATGGTTTCTATGATCATGCAAACAAAAAATTACTCTATTGTTATTTGAGATGACTTAAAACAAAAAAAAGATTTTTTATATAAATAAATTTTTTTTAAATTAAAACAAAAAAATAATAGTAAAATTAAGTGATTGAAGAAAGTAACTAAAGAAAAAAAGTTTTCCCATGAAAAAAATACCATGTGTTTTATTTATTGCGATTATTGCTGATTTGTTCTTAAACTGCTTACGAAACTACATTTTTCAAACTATTTTTTTGCTGCCGATACATATAAAGAAAAGCGATACAGTTTTATTTTTTTTACAGATTTATTAGAATTTGATTTCTTATTCATTAAATATTTTATATCCATTAGCCGATAGATAAAAAGAGGTTATTGGTTGATTTTATTTAAAAAAAGTATCTATCAAAATTAAAATCGAGCGAAAATAAAATATCTAGTTAAAAAAAAAAAACAAGAAGATACCTTCATACAAATTAAAGCGATAGGGGATAGTGTTCGTTTTTCTTCTTGTTCTTCGACATTTATATTCAACAACGAAAAAATCACTAGAAGCAGTAGCAGTTTGGTCGAACGAAGAAAACAAAACAACTGAAAAAGCCTTTTTGTTCCAATTTTTTTTTCAAGTATTTCGGTTTGTTTTGATGCATTTTATAATTCGGTTTTTTTTAAATTGATCTGTGTGTGTTTGTCGATTTAATCAACTTTGGTGATCGGTAAATTAATTGAACTTGAATATTAATTTAAGCTTAAATCGAAATTTATTATTTCAACTCTCTCGCTCTCTGTCTCAATAAAATACAAATACGGAAGCAACGATAAAGTTTATATAAAAAAGAGTCTAAAACACGAGTTCCATTGAGCTCTTTGCAATGAATTCAAACACGTTTCAAGTGATTTTGCAATCGTCGTTGACCTTGAGCGAGCGCATAATTGATGTTATGGAAAATACAACTGAAATGAAAATATAATTTGAACGCACAAATACGATTCAATTTAAACAAATGTTCTTAAAGCGCACGATTGTACACACAATGCAAATAGATAGAATTTGCATTCATACAATAGATACACGCAAAATGTGGACCAAATTTTTTATATATTATTTCAATTTTCTTCGTTCTGGTGTTCCGTTTTTTGGTAACTGATAACCAATTCATGTTAAGTAAAAATCTACGCAACAGCCATACATTTGATTGATTCCATTTTGATTTGGAGGACGCCATGACACCGGCCACTTGATCAAATCCACATTTCAAATCAAAACATTTGTTGTATTGTCAGTGATTTTAATTAGTTGAAATGTATTGGTCGTAAACATTTTCGAAAATTAGCCATTCCATTCATCGCTATGAACATTCTCTCGATTGAAACGATGCACAAGAATGCAATAATCTCTGACCACAAAAAATTTCAAGTCATTCACATTTATTATATATTGTTTTCATTTTTCTCTTTAAGTCGTTTTTTAAAAAAAAAATTGAATGAATCACTTTTTTGTGCATGCACAGTTCTCTTTGCTGTATGTCTTCAGCATTTCTTTAAACGAAATAATTTAATTGTACACGAAAGTAAATAGCGACTCAATCATACTATAAAAAGACTTAAATGTCATACATAATTCTACTGACACTGGAATCATTTGAGTTGTCCACTTTTTCGCTTCGATTTGGATGTGATGTGTTATCGATAAAACTACTAAACGAACAAATATTGGCATTGCCAGTTTGCGAATTTGAGCAACGGCCATTCGATAATTGAGTATTATCAGTATTACTTATTCTACTGTTACAAAGATTATTACTACAGCTACTACTACTACCTTCCACATCCAAATGATCGTTATGAATCGAATTTTGATTTGAATGGAAATAACTACTGTTTAATGATTGAGATGTGGGTGTAATGGCAAGAATTTGATCGCGTTGACGTATGACCGATAATGATTCGCTGCGTGTTAACGTTGAATGATTTTGATTTCGATAGTTTGGGTTTGCTGGTGGTGGTGGTGGTGGTGCTGATGGACCAACACTTTCTATACTAGGCGCTTCATTTGGCGATTGCAAACCCAAAATGAAACCATTTAAATTGATTATTTGATTTTGTGCACCCACCACAAATCCATAGAATTTCAATATCTAAAAAAAGAAAATTTGAAAAATATTAATTAAAATCGTTTCGAAAAAAACTAAAAATTAAAATAATTTTTATATTAAAAAAATGATATTTACATCCATTTTACACATGGGGCAAGTTCGATGCTCCAAAAGCCTGTGAAAATAAATCAAATTGAAGAAAATTTAGCCATATTATTTTAAAAAAGAAAATCAATTTAATTACCATGGATCGATGCAGCCTTTGTGAAATTCGTGTCTAGAGAATATTGAAGGTTTTTTTAGAGAGGAATGTAATTTGATTGTTATAAAAATTTAGAGTTTAGAGCAATAAAATAAGTGCCAAAATAAGTGAAATTGTTTAGAACTTACTTGCATGGAAGGACTCGAATTACATCAGTCGTTTTGTATGGTTCAATACATATGGCACAGCAATCATTGTCATTGTCATTGTCAGTCACTTCTTCGACTTTAATACTTTTTGTCGGAATTTTGGCGATAACTCTCTTGGCTACCGTACACAATTGCCGCTAAAAAGTTATGCAATTAAATATTAGATTTATTTATCTCTGTAAATAAAATACATTTTTAACCGTTGAACTTACCGATTTACGATCTTTGGTTTGTAAGTAGCGAAACCGTTGAACGTAATAGAAAACAAGCCACACAAATGAAATTATCATTAAAACAATGAACGAAATCGAAACGAACAAGACAGACGTACTGTAATTGAAAAAAGAAAGAAAAAGAACATATGCTTTTGTAAATTACAAGTACATTGATGATTTAAAATAGCTACAAATGACAAAAACATTTCATTTGTCGATGCACCACTATTCGGCTATATTATTTTTCTAAAAAAATGTTATACTATTTTATATTAGTATTCCATAAATTCACATAACGTTGTGTTTGCACGAATAAATGAGAACTGTATGAACTTCGGCGATCATTAGAATATGATTCGAACAGAAATATAGAAATCTCAAGATTTTTTTCTTCCAAAACCCTTTAGGTCAATGCATTCCAATAAATTTCTTTTTCCCAGCATTGATTGATGTTAGAGCAGGGATGCTATTATTATTTTCCTTTTTGCTTACCGATTGATATTGGGTGGTTTGCCATATTTTCCAGGAGCGATTGAAACTATCAAATCGACCTCTTCTATATCGACAATACGAGCCATTTGTTCGCCAACCAATTTATACGTAAACACCGATGTGATATTTCCTGCAAATTGTATAAACAAGGAAGAGACATTTTTAGTATAAAATCCAATCTGTTTATGTTTTTCTTTAGCTGTGATTTCGGCTAATACACATTTAAATATTTGTTAAACGTTTTCTGTTTGTCTGTCTTTATCGATTTTCATTTATTTACCCAATTGTTTTGAATGTCATTTTGGTGACAAAATCGTTCAATGAGTTCAAATGGATCATTGAAAATATTTAATAATGTCTACCGCTTTGGCTTGGTCAGCTTTACTTCCGACTGGACATTTTGATAAGTTTGGTGCTAAATTAAAGCCAATTTATGGTTTATGGTATTTTGTTTGTGTTTTTGTACAAAAGTGACACATTTACACATCATGGGCTTCACCACTATCGATTTCGACCAGTTTGAAATCCTCTACTTTTTCGCCAAATTATATTCAAAACACTTTAACAATGAAAGCACTTGATATTGGAGCGAGAGAGAGAGAGAGAAAAAAGGGAAAAAATTGTAATTGATAACTTACGTGTTTTATCATCAATTTTCATTTTATCCAAGCTTGGCACTTCTTTGAAATCATAAACTATGGCACCAATTGCACCTTGTGAATGAACGCGTGCAACTTTGTCATCAAATTTACAATCGCCTCGCTTGATCAATGCAATCCAGGTGCCCTTTGGGGGTAGATCCTTATTGTTTGTACCGGATATCTCTGAGCATGCCGAATGGTCGGATTTATTATATTTATTGGTTACATGAACCAATTTTCCCATCACCGAAGTGATTTGACCTTCACCATATTTTGCCGTTTCTTGAGCAAAAACAACGTGATGACCATCAATTCTCTCGTATGTATAATTGATAAAAGCCAAAGCATAATAGTCGGCGGATGGATGGCTACGTCCAACTTCCGATGGAAATGAGTATATTACACCGGGTTGCACATCATTTTGTGTACCAAACGCTCCCAAATCGGTTGGTTGTGATATTACCCATTTTGTTTGTAACATCAGTGTCGTAAGAAATAGTAATAATACCTGTGTTTGAGTCATTTTGTTTGTTTCTTTGTTTTTTACTACTTAAATTAGATTAACCAAAAATAGTCGCGATTTTTCGTATTCGCTTAATTTTATTTGCAGCTTGACAATGATTTGTCAGTTGTTATTTTGTTTTTTAAATGACGGCGAGTCTTGCATTAAGCTTATTTGTTTCGGTTGTAGTTTCAAATGTTCGTATCGCACGTTTTCTCCGTTCCGTCGATTTGCACGTGTAAGGCGCTCCAAATCAAATCGTGTAGACGAGAGAAAAATGTGTAGAAATTTTGTGATTCACCACTGCTGTGATGCGCACAATATCCGTGAATCAGAAATTTTTTTCTCTATTTAAATTTGATGATTTATTTTGGAAATTTTGGGGGAAAAAAATATAATCGAAAACACTATTGAATCATTCGATGTAAGTTAAGTTTTTTACTTTCTTCTTTCTATCTTTGGTTATTAAGTCTCAATAGAGAGCTGCTACTGTTGTTGGAAATCTGAAATCGAAAGCGAAACATAAACAATTAACATTAATTTTCAGTTGAAAAACGAGTGATTATTACTTAACACATTAAAAGTAAAATAAACATTGCATTGGTTTTTTTTTTTGCGTTTTTCTCACTTTTTTCTCATTTTATTTTTCTCTTTTTCATTCAACATGCTACATAGTATTTAGGCCAAAAAAGCGGATTCGTACACTTATTATACGGAAAGATGTTGCTTTGCAAGTGTTCGACAATGATTCATTGTCACCACAATTTGGTCTCATATGGTTTGAGAGTTTGAAACGCTTCAAATGACAACCATGCAAACGGTTTTATAGAAAATTGAGAAGAGCAATCAATGTGTGTGATGTATGCACAAAGCATAGTCGCCACACGCGAATGCCGATTCCCATAATCTACTATGGCTGCTGGTGAGTTCATGCTGCGCATCAAATGCACTTCAAGTTGTTACTTTTCGATTGATACACAGAAACATATATGTTACATATAATAATACTATTTCTTCATTCCCTTGATCATTCAGTGTAAAATTGAGAATTTCACAAAAAAATAATAATAATAATAATAATAATAATATGTCAATGGAAAATATTTAATTTGAATTGGAAAGGGGCAATAGCGGAAAATATAATCTGAAGTGAATGAGTAATAAAAATAGTTGTGAAATGGTCATTTTTATCTTGATTCTTAATAATTTTGTTTCATGGAAAATAAGCTCAATTTCATTAATTCATAATTACATGCGTTTCGAACAAATCAATGTACAGTGTACACCGTAACCACTTAATATTCATTGCGGTACTGAAACTGAATAAAAATAGACAGAAAAGCACATCCATCGTTTTAAATATATTTAAAATAAAAACAACAAAAATATTGCTTTGCTTTGTGCTGTCGTTGTTGTGTTTTGTTTCTGTTGTGCGTATTCGGAAGTTCAATGCATATAAACAATCTAATAATTACTCTGAGAGATTGAAATCGATTTTATTGTTGTTGTGCGTGTCTGGTGCGTGATTTGACTAAAAAACGGATTATGATCAGTCGACCTTTATTTAATACGATTTGGATATACAATTGTATACGTACTCGAGACAAATTGCATTTTCATTCCTATCTCGCAGTCATATGGGTGCTAAAATCTGTAGAGAATTTGCACAACGGATCGCACACCAAGCACCGACACATTATTCGTATGGTTAAGATGATAAACGTGTAACATTTTAATGCATACTTAATGCAAAATTTATACCATATTTACTTGTCGTTGAGGTTTGTTTTTTATACACTCTGTTTAATTTAGCAATCGGTGTATATACACTAGAGATTTTGCGGAAGCAATACGTCTCTTTGCTGATTTAATATATTATTATAATAAATTTCATGAAGTGTATGTGCTTAGTAATTTAATGAATTAATTAGTTTATGAAATTGATTTTGCTTATGAGCTATAAATAACACATTAACTTCAAAAGAATATCATATATCGCAGAGTTATCAGCGATCGTTCTATTTATATGAGTGCATTTTTTGGTTTAGTTTAATCGAGATCAATTTTACATGCAATACCTATGACACTTGTCGGTGTTTTTCCTCTCACTTTCAATAGAGTGATAGACTTTTTATTGTCATTTTACTGGACATTACAATGTATTTAAATTCATTTGTTTAGTCTTGCTCTCATTCTCCAACGCGAATGTCAATCAAACAATGACAACAATTTACTGAATTTATAGCTAATGTCGAAATATTGAATTGCTAACGGAATAAGTGCATCGGTAGATGTTAAATGGAAAAAAAGAAAAATACGCAAAATAAATGGAATTATTTCGACAAAAGTCCGCTTTGTTTGTCCACCAATGACACGCATACAAAAGAAATATAAAACAAATTTATATAATATTTTGTCGCTTTTGATAACGATCGTAGGATAAGAGGTGTTCACTCTTTGTGTTATTTTTTATCATTTCAATATTTCATGGTTAAAATGTACTACTAGTACGCCCAGCTGGGAAAATAATCTCGATTGAGCAACAATGACCATGAAATGTTGGTGGAAACATATCTTGTTTATTTATAATACATTTTGATTAATATTTAGTGGAAAAAACCGATTTGTCTTATGGGACACTATAAAATAAGAAGAAGTACTTGTGACTCCAACCTTCCTACCAGTCTCCTGGGAAAATGTTGCTTGTTACTTATTCAAGGGGTGGAAATGTATATATAGCCCCACAGACCCCCACATTAGGGGTGTCTAATCTTGATGTTTAGACAATTCTCCACTATTCTGTAATCAAAACGATGCCAAAAATAAAATTGTTTCATTCTCAATGAGATTATAGACTAATATTTAAAAAAAAAAATGAGAAAAAATGAAATTGATATTTCATCAAACCGTAAACAGTGAGACGATTGGTTTAATTGTTAGTTTACATAATAAATTTGAAAACAAAGAAAATAGAAGGTGATAATGAATCGATGGATCCGGATAAAAACAAGTTGAGTTATCAGACGATTCTCAATCGAACTGGTTATATGATTTGGATATAGGATATTGCGACAATCGAAAGGACTTTTTCAAACATTTAAAAAAAACTAGCAATGATGCTTTTTCTTGAATATCCTACCGATTTTCTTCCGGTAATTAAACTCTTTTTAAATACTCGAAAATAAAAATTTCGGGCACTATAGACGGCAACAATGCAAATAACGACCGAAACTAGTCTACTGTCACAAAGTCTAAAGTATCTCTAGAGAGTTTGGTATATTCAGTTTGATCATACACTTGATAATCTCGCTTTCTCCCTTTTAGCTAACATATAAAATTAATTGATGCGGCGCCAAATCGTCACTTCAAAAAAAAAAAAAAAAAAAAAATACATTCAACAAAAACTTTGGTCAACCAATTAAATAATTAATAAGGAATATATTTAAAAAAATATATATGTGTGTGTGTTTTGGTTCGCTATGTTATATCTGACCATAGTTAGTATGATGCAGGATCAACACATTGATTACGGTTTATTTTCGCTTCAGTTAATCAAACAGAAAATCTGTTTTTATCTTCATCGCCGGTAAATTGAGTGATAATGAAAAAAAATGCACAAAATAGAGAGACATTACAACACATATAACGAAACAGTGAAAACTGTAGCCATTTTGAAATGATATTTATAGCATTGTTGTGCATTTTCTTTACACAATATGTGTATCGTCATTGCCAAAAAAAACTGAAAATCAAAAAGCGAATCAGTAGAAAGCAGCCACGAAAATTGGCCACGTGAGTTCATAGTGCATTTTATATCGCAAATCTCTGAGAAATAGATTTTTCTTCATCGTTCTCACTCATTTGCTGGCTACTTTTCTGTATTTGACATGTTTGCCAAAGAAAAAAAATGCAAACAAATACAAACAAAATCTTATTGCCGTTACTATATGTATGACAAACAAGTTTAAAATTCATACAAACGGCAGCCAAATGGTTTGTAACGAGTTGGATGTAGCTTTTATTCCGATGATGCATAAAATGTTTAAAAGTGCGGAACTACTAAAGCGAATAATAGAACATATGTGCAAATACTTTGAAAAAAAAAATCGAAATATCGTTATATGTAAACAACTTGAAGGAAAATACATTTTTGAAGAGTGCACACTGCACACATTAATTTACAAATACAGCAACGTGATTTGAGTGCGTCATAGAAACCAAATTCGTTGTTGTACGGCATTCAGTTAGCGTTTTGTGCTGCTCAATAGCATGTGCGCCAAAGATAGACACGCAGGAAAAACAAAATAATAACACATACACACATTGAAGTGCCAGTAAATATTGCGATGAAGACTGGACAATAAACCGAAATGTCCAAACAGCAGTCAGATAATGTCATAAAAATAGAGGTTTCAACAAGTTTAAAGCAATTAAATAAACATACAATCTTATTTAACTTATAAATAAATAAAGAAAGAGAGAATGTCGGACGAAAAGGAGACGGTAAAACGTGGCCAAAAGGTGACAATGAGATAAACCTGACGTTTTGGTCAAAATAAAATAAACACGATGGTGGCCACGGTGAACCAGTTTTTAGCGAAAAGCGAGCACTTATTTTTTCTTTCTTTCCAATCTCAAAGAACTAACATATATTGAGGGACGTGAATGCAATTTTCATACATCATCGTCAATGTTGACCACCCATTTTTTTTCTTCTTTTTTCAATTTTCACTTGAATGAGAACATATTGTAAGTGTATGTATTCAAAATGCAAGTATTAGTTTTGAATCACGTCCTTAGCTATCCGACAACGGCTATAAGATTTATAGAGTGTCGCAAGGAGGTAGATAATGTATTGCGGCCACTTATATTTCCGCGATGCATTTCCGCCTTCGACGATGACATTCGGCAAGTGGAATTGCCAAATTCGTTTCCTACTGTATGTGTACGACATTAAAGACAAAGTCTATACGATTTATGATGAAGATCGTCGCCATTTTTGCTAGTGTTGAATTTGTATGACATGGCTGTGTCACATCAAGTTGTGTTTATACAATTTTTTTTGCGCTCAAAATGAACGTCACTCGCAAAAAAAAGAATGTTTAAAGACATTGGTTTCATTAAAAGTTTAATGACGTATTTTTTTCCGTTCTGTTTTTATTCGTATTAAGAATCTTTATACATTTATCCATTCGAAATCTGTATGAATTGTTTGCTCATTGAGCTAAACACCTACACATTTCATTCGGTCAGTTCACTTCGATCGGGTATGCAATAAGAATGTTTACGTCGTACTTTTCGATGTATTTTGTTCTTGTTTTGTTTGTTTGTTTTGGTTTTTTTTGCCGTCGGGAACGTATGCCACATGTGTGCATCTATGATACACACACACAAATTCTCTCCGAATAAATTGAAAGAAATGACACATATGTGTGGCCAAGCCAAAGCTGAGGCAGAAAACACAACACAAAATATCATATTATCAATTATGAGGGTCATTGATTTTTTGAAGGCTATTTTTTCACTCATATTCTGCACAAAACATATGAGTCGTAAATTTTTTCTTTTCGCGTAATCCAAAGCGAGAGACAGAATGAATGCATGTTTGTACAAGAGAAAAAAAATTAAAAAGAGTTGACATTTCTTTTCCATCAAACAATGCATTTTTGCTCTAGAAAATATTCTACATCTCAGTTGTGTTTATTTTTGTGCGGCGCATATTTAAGTTCTGCTTCTTCAACCATGTTTAAGTCTCTTCATCGATTCAAATGAGTCATTTCTCTTAAATATATGCAAAAACGACTTTTATAATATGGTAATTTCTTTGCTGTTTTGCATAATGAGAGAATTTCCAATGTGCTATCGAGTAGTTTGTTGAGAAATTGTTGCGTTTGAAGTACTGTTTTTCAACACGGAATTTTGCTTGACACATAATAATTATAATAATAATTCGAACATAAATCTTTGAGTAATACAACAATTATTGGAAAATATCCGAATTAAAATTTATGTTGCTAGGTACAAAAAATTCCTTTGAAAAATGTCAAGAAACATTGTTCCAACGCATTATTACTGCAGTTTGTCATTTGAATATGATCATTTGACTTAGCACAGATAACTTGGACCACTGTGTCGACTGCAAAGGTGATGACTGATATTTTGTAGAGACTTTACATTTCTCCATACATTTATTTATAAACACAGTCCCGGTAACAAAATGCATTCCGATAAGATAAGATTTGAATATTATGAACCATTGAATATTAAAAAAAAACTTTTTTTTATCAAGAATAAACATTAAACAATGATAAGAGAAAAAAAACATGTGTGTATAATGTTTTACCGATTTGAGTGTATACCCGATTCAAATGTGTCTGGAAAGAGACCGTGACTCTGAGAATATACGTTTAATGTCTAAAACAGAAAAAATGTGATTGTTTGGACTTGAACCATAATGAATGGATTAATATCACCGATACATTGGCCTCTGTCTGTGGCAGAATACACCATGTCGAAATGATTGGGTGTAAAATTTATTGGTTTATAAAGTGTTTGCATCTCGGTCGTTCGGTTTTTGTTTCTGACAACAACTTCAAATCATGATTTACAAATAATAAACGTTTTTGACCGAAATTTTGACAGTTACAAAGAAGTGTGCTGGGTGAGAAATAAATGAGAGATAATGTACGATATTATACGAATCAGTAAGCCCAAATTGGCCGATGAGACTAACGGAATGAAAATCATTGGACTAAAACAATTTAAAAGCAGCTGTAATTGAGTCATTGATGGCGAAATTCGAGACGAAAATAAATTGAAGATGTTGATTGTGTTTTTGCGCACTATGACAGGTACTGGTTCTTGTTTTTTCGTAGAAAAGCTTAGAGGTCTCTCACACTTGCCTCATGGTTGAAGAAAGCGATCATTGTTCCTACTTTCATAGCATGGGTGTGTGTGCGCTGTGCGCGTTTTTTTCTATTCTCTTTTTTTCCCCATTGAGATGAAATATCAAATTAAATGAATCGGTATTTTTAACCGAGAGAGGTAATATCACGCATATATCTAAAATCTGCAAACACGCTATATGTCATGTTACAATCCATCAACAAATACCAAATAATCTCTCTCGTAGCATTGAAGAAAAATTTAATGCATTTCGAACTCTAAGTGGTACTGTAAATAACTGTACTGTTTTCTGAATATTGTTTCAATCGCTGTCCGTTGTTCGACATTCATCAACCAACGGCAGATGAATAACTACATCAACCAAAACAAGACCAATAAAAAATTACGTAGAGAAATCTAAGAGAATATATTTTAGAGGTATAAGACCAACAGCTGACAACACTATGAGACACTATGCATATAAATGCAATGAAAATGACTATTACTCAGGACATCAATCAAACATCGCATTTTTTCCATATTGTCAGATAAATACTTAATATAAATTCGAAACGTTGCGGCATACTATGGACTTATAGTAAAAAGGGAGGATTTTTTCTCACTATCTTTTACGTTTTGAATATATACAAAATACAAATGTATCTACAAACTCTTTCCGTCACAAAATTGATATCAGCAATTTTTTGTGTTTCAAATTTAGTTTTGTCACTCGTTCTTCAACTCGACAGAGGTTTTTTCATTTGATATACAGATATACATAAAAAAAATAGTAATCGTTTGAAACACACACCTTCTTCTCCCGGTTTCATTAAAAACGGATGGTCACTATCTTCTACGTAATTGTTGGTGTCGTCGTCAATATTCACTTATTTACTTTTAATTAATTTGGTTCGAACACCGATAATTCGATGTAACTAATCGATTGTGTCTATTTGCCGTTAGTCGATGACAAGTTGAGTCTCTTCAGACTTGGCGTATCTTTTTTATATTTAAAGCGTCAATACTATTATATTTTGCGTTTGTTCAAAGAAGACAAAGCCAAAATAATAATCTTCACTTATTCACATTTACAAAAAAAATGATGTCGGTTAATTACGCAAAAAACTTTGTTGGTTTTTTAATTGATTTTCATCTAAAATTGTTGATTTTTTTTCACTTCGATGTGTACTTTCAAATGCAGTGTTTCCAAGTTATTCGTTATATTTGCCTAACTCTGGAGACTGGAAACTGTTCAAAACTGTTTGCTATCGTACTTCTTCTTCTTTATTATTTTAATTACTTTACATTATCACACCAGAGATGTAACTTTTTTTGTCAACTGCAACGATGAACGACGACAAGTAAAATATTCGGCTGTATTTTGTTATTTTGCTCATGGACATATGAGACAAAATAAAATATCTCCAAACCCCAATCCCATGTATGTGGTGCCGAAGGATAGTATTTCGAAGTGACAGTAAATAATATTCCACTTTGTTCGCAAGTTCACACAAGTTCTCGTTGCTTATTCGAATTCGACATAAAATACGTAATAATATAACCAAAAACGAAAAAAACACTATCGAAAATAATAAGATATGCGAATCTTATTGATCTTGATTGAAAAATACTTGAAATCTTGAAACGAACTTGCTGTTGCTGCGGGTACATACACACAATTTATTTCGAATCAAAGCATGAAGTAATAATCGATTTTATGCGGTCATTGAAAGTTCAATTTAAGATGAAAAAAAAATCCAGTTTCAGCTCTTTTGTTTTGCTTTTAATATTATGACAACAAAAATATAACCATATTGCTCAAGAAATTCGTATAATTATGACCGAACGAATTATTGAGAGAATAGTTGAATCGTTTGAGCACTTTTTTTATATATATATATATTTTTGTCATAGAATTTTAAACGATGTCACTAAAAATTGCTCTTTTCCAAAATAGAAATATTTTCTTTTACATTTGGAAAATTCAACACACTTTTAGTTTAATGTCTTTTTAATTCTTTGTTCAGTTGTGACAAACCGATGAATTAGTCGAGATTTTAAGAGGTAATTTGCGTTAGGTCGTTGTTACTTTCTTTGTTTATTTCTGTCCGTTTCTGTATTTAGACAAAAAAAAGAAAGATTGTTTTCGCACCGCTTTTCAAACAAACAGCTAAAAATGAACTGAAATCAAATGTTTGGATAATGGTTTCGACTCGACAAGTAGTGCACATCGCGCACATAAACATTCGAACGACTGCTTTTTTACGTGTATACCAATGTTGCGTATGTGTGGTGATTCATATATGTATTGGATACTGTTTCTCTCAGGGCCTAAATATACATCATTTATTTGAAAAGTGTATTAATTTTTGCTTTAAATACATAATAAAGATAAGGATATGGTTTTATTTTTTAAAAGATGAAATTTTCAAATCATAATAGAAAATAATGTTGATGTTAAGATGTTATTTTGTGTGTTTGGGCTGTGAACAGACACAATAATATTACCTGTACTATACGTAGACTATATGTATATCAATGTGTCTAGTTCAAGCCATGGCAATGATATGTGTGGATTGTTGTGTGCGCGTGTATTTGTGAGCACAGTGCAGGCACTGTCTTCTTTTACGTATAAGTCATTAACTTAGATCTACGCTACTGCTGTATATCGCATGCCTTTGTTTGATGCTTCGTATAAGCCTAAGTATAACCGTACGTACCAGCATTTCATCACTATCACAAAACGGCACACATGTTGGTGACTAATGTAGTGGTGGTACTGGTGTAGTTTTATATTAATCCGTTTTATTATGAGTCGCCACAAAATTTGTTTCCTGGTACTGTTGCTGATTACCATGAAGGCTTCTTTCTATTAACGCATTCTTCAATAAATTTAAAATGCCTTGACTATGAAAAACAATGCACACAGCGTTCCAATTGCATTCCATAACAATTAAGTTGTAATTTGTTTTAATAAATTATTATTGATTTTCGTTTGGAAAAATTTACATAAAATAATAAAATCCCTTTGATTATTTTGTTTGTTTTTTCTTTATTTTATTTTATTTATTCGAAATGGCAATTGTTTGTAACAAAAACCTGTTCGTATCCATTGATGTATAACATTTATACATTTATGTTTTAAAACATCATCAAAAATACGATGGTTGTTGAACATTGACTAAATTTATTCGTATTTTGAATTGTCATTTGATTGTCACAAAGATAATAGTAATTTTTTTTTTTTTTGGTTCCTTTGGTTCGTGTACAAGAAATTTTAAACAAAAATAATTTAGATAAGTTGATCGATTTAAAAGTGTTGACTAGTTTGGATGGATATTTTAGGCCAATGCAGCGGCACCGGAAATAATTTCAATCAATTCACGGGTGATGACAGCTTGTCGAGTACGATTGAATGTAAGAGTAAGTTTGTCAATCATTTCACCGGCATTCTTTGACGCATTGTCCATGGCAGTCATACGTGATGACTGTTCTGAGCAGGCACTCTCTTTCATTGTATAGAATAAAAGCGAGGCCAATGAATATTCAAGATAATCCTTAAGTACATCAGCATCTAGTGAATCGTAAACGGCCAACTTTTCTGATGTTTCAACGGCTTTCAAGCTGAAAATTGGCACCGCGCTACATGCATATGAAACAACACTTTTGAATTTATTATAAACGATTTGACCATGGGTGTAATCATAACCAGATCCCAGAATTTCATTGGCAATTTTCGATGCGTCCAAAAAATTTGGTGGAATACGGCCGACTTCATTGCCAACAAATATGAATTTGTCGGCAAACAAACGTTGTAAAATTGCACGGCTTTTGTCACCGACACAAGCGATTTTCGTATTTTCGGTACTTTCTGTACGCGATTGAAGATCGTTACGAATGGAACGTGCAACACCAGTGTGAACAGCACCACAAAGACCTAAAACGGTTTTATTAATACAATAATATTGAATGTGGCTTTTGGAATTGGTCAATCAAAAGATTCATTACCTCTGTCAGATGTGACAGCAACAAGGAGCTCTTTTGGATTTTCTTTTGGTGGTTCAATTTCGGCAACCGCATAAAATTTCGTTGCACCCTCACCGTATGGACGGGCTTGTTTCAATTCACGTTCGGCACGTGCGTATCTGAAAAAGAGAACAATTTACATCAAGAATTGATGACAATGAAATTTTGATTAATTCAACTTACTTGGCAGCGGATACCATCTTCATTGATTGGGTAATTTTTTGAATATTTTTAACTGATTTAAGCCGAATTGAAATGGCTTTCAATGTGGCCATGTTACGGTTCTGCTGAGAAAATGCCCCATTGGAAATGATGGCACTAACGACTGGATTGGTGCGTTGCATCCACATGATTGACAGTTTCTTCACTAACACTGAAAATATAGAACTCAAATCACTAATATAATCTTCTAATGTAATGATATTTCTTCTAGTATTTTTTACTATTCAATCAAATTTCATTCAAAAAATATGATCGCGCATAACAAAATGAAAATTATCGTTTTCCAGAATCACTATAAAATCAAAATTTAACGCGGAGTAAAGCATTTTCGCAAAGGATATATTTGAGAAAAAATCACATATTATGTAAGACTTGTGTGTGTTATATACGATATGATTCTATTTTGGTAACGATTACTTTTTTCTCTCTCTTTTTCATTACACCATCATTTCAATACACACTTTTCAATAAAATTTAAATTGAAATTTTCAAATCAAATTGATTTATTTGCACATATTCAAATGAAAAATCGAATTCGAATGGAACAATAACAAACCTTACTGAAGAGGAAAGAAAAATTCTATCTTGAAATTGTTTCGGAAAGAACGGCCAATGGATGTCGAACACAGTTGAAACGGCGCTGTGTGAGATACAAAAATAGATTCTACCTCTCAGAGAATTAAATCTGACATTTCAACTGTCAGTTTACAACAAATATTAACATTGGTAATAATTAAAAAGAAAAACTGAAAAAAAACACATATTTGAAGGAAATAACCAAAAAAATTATTATTCGTCTGAGCTAATCGATGCATTGATAAAATTATTTTTTTATACCATCATTTCATAAAATTTGAATATTTGAAAATTGCGAACATTTTTTACCGGCGCTGAAAGTAACTAACGAACTTGACAGAAGACCATCACGCATTTCTCAAATATATTGAAAGCAATTGTCATAACCCTTGCTTAACTATTCTTAATTTTTTTTTCGTTTCCAAGTTAAAGGTGATCGCACATTTAATCGACATATTTGATTTTTGCTTTTAGTGCAAGCGTAAAACTATATTATTTTAAAATGATACGACAAATCTGTTCCAGAAGAAATGTATCCGTATGTATCATTTACATTTTTTTTTTTCTTCCAACCAAAATTTTAGAAGGAAAAATTAGAGCAACAATTATTACATTTCTTTTTGTATTTCTGACTATTTGTTTTTGTACGGTAGCTACTGTCACGACTCTGGTCAGGTAATCAAGTGGATGGACAAAAGCACTCAGAAAATCAATTGGCAGAAAGACTTCAGCAAAGATTTAAAGAGGTTAGTAAATGGCAATGTAAATGAAAAAAAAAACCATTGACTTTGGCAAACCAAATTTAATCAAATGAAATATTTATATTTTCAGGCGAAACATGTTAGTGTCGTCGATATATCAGGCGGTTGCGGTGCCATGTATGAAATTGTTGTAGAAACTAATGAATTTAAAGGCTTATCACGAGTAAAGCAACATCAATTAATCACAGACACCCTCAAAACGGAAATTAAAGACATGCATGGACTTCGGATACATACATCTATACCAGACTCATAAAATTAATAGTCTTTCTGTTTGTTTAAAAAAAAAGTACATAGAATATATTAATTGTTAACAGAATATATGTGGTTTATTTATTTACGGCACGTTTCACGTAGAAAATCAAACTCGCGCGATTTTCTTTACCGAATATCATTTACAAGGACATTGAAAACAAAAATACTGAAAAATAAGTAACGGCAAAGCTGGAAATGGGACTCATTTTATAAATGAAGCAGAAGGATTCTCTTCTGGAAATGAAATGAAAACTTTTCAAGTAAATGGCATTTTAAATGTGGCGTTGCAAACACTTTTTTCAATGAGTTTATTAAAATGTATGGAATAGCTGGTTGTGACTTAATATTCTTTCCTGCAGCTTATCACATTTCTGGTGGTCGAGGATATTGAAAACTGATTCACCGTGCTCGAGCACTTTCCACGACAATCAACTTTTTGTGGCTGCTATGAGTACATTGTGCTATCGAAAAAGAAAATAGAGGTACCAGATCACGCTTCATGTTGAACGTCAAATTCAGAAATGACAGCCGATCGAATTTCATCCTTTCATTTCATCATGCTGGAAAACGTATTTTGTGCTCCCAAAAAATTGTAATAAATTAAACGATTCAATGTGATTTTAATTATCAACCAGAATAGATTCAGCATAAGCTCACACAACTCAAACCAAACAATAACATATTGAATTATTTACAATTATTGCTGTACTCCGAATAAACATTATCAGTAAAATGTTCTCGAGTAGGGGTTCGTTTGTGTACGATATTAATACAAAAAAGGTGACAAGTGATTGTAATTTGTATCCCACTGAAGTTAACAAAAAAGATATGTATTGGCTTTATGCACAAAATAATAAATATAATCGTGAGTCTTTTGAACTCCAAAAAATTGGAAAATGGATGTTATTTTTAACAAAACATCAAGTGAATGCGATATGGGATAAAATCAAACAAGCTGTTACAAATGGTGATCTTTGGCATTCAAAGGTATATACTTTCTTTTATAATTTCATTATCCATTCTGTTCCATTGCTTATTTATTAATTTCCATTTTTCCATTATTTTCTTCTGATCAACCCTAGGTATCTACGTATTCTGCTGAATCTCCAAACGACACTCATGCAGTTATGATTTACACAAAAGATTATACTGATTTAAACGACGTTATTAATGTGTTGGATTTTCTTGAAACTTCTGGAATTAAAGAACCACATACAACTATAAGATATAAAACTGATCAACAAACTGCTGCTGGAATTTATAGTGGAGGTAAACAAAAGCCATGGATTTATGCTTCCGATACAATTAGAGGCGGATCACCTGCAGCAACTGGAACCAGCAATTGTTCTAATTGGCGAGACGGAAGAAATTAACCGTTGTTATCATTAATACGCAGTTGAGCAACAAAATGACATTCACCGATTAAATGCCTTTATAACGAAATGGAAATTATGTTTTTTCAATTTAACTTTAGTTTTGGAAATTTTTCTAATTATAAGATAAAGACAAAATTCAATTAATATTAGCTAACAATAGTTATATGAATCATAGTAAAGATATTTTGAGTAGTTGAACCAACTCAAATAACCACAAATTGAAACAGATAATATTTTTATTCAAAAGTCACGCTTTACAATTGACTAGAATAATACATTAGTAATCATTATGTCAGTATTTCAAGACAAAGTTTCCATTTACATTTTTTTTTTTTTGCAAATTTGACATTTTTTGTATACATATTTCAACTTTATTTTTCGTTTATAAAATACAATCTATTTTTATTTTTTTGCAATAAAAAGCATAAATTTAAAAAAAGAATTAACGTTCTAAATTTAAATTTTCCTTAATTTCAAATATTTCATTATAACCGTTTAATAATCACTGAAAAGTCTCACCAACATGAAAAGCCGTTATTCACAAGCGAGCTATGGCAACAAGATGCACACTGAACTTAAACAGAAAAAAATATAAAAAATTAAGTTTCGAAGATTCTGAAACTATCGATCGATAAAATAAATAAATATATATAGATACTTCCAAAAAAGAAGTCCAAATTTGATTCTATTTCGATAAATTATTTTTCTTTTCGAAAATAGTGGTTATTTTGAATTCGCTCGACATGAAATAAAAGGACATCCACATTATATGATAATTTACATCGGGTCACACCAATTATGGCGTCGAAAGCAAACGATAGACGGCGCTTAAGTGTAGCCTTCATTTTCTCTTTATTTCATCTGTCGTCACTTTTTCGCATTTTTGCTAGACAATCGTCATTCAATCGTTGTTAGCACGCAGTAAAGATGATTTTTATTTCTAAGTAGGCCTTATGAAAAAAATAAATAATAATAAGTTATTGTTGTTAATATTTTTTATTGTGTATTACTGAAGTGACTGAGACGAAACAAGAGAATATTAAAAAAGCGTGTGAATTGAAAAAAATTATTTAAATAAATAATTCCAATGTTTTTTGGTTACATCGCATAATAAAAAAAAAGAAGAAAGCTGCCAATCGAGCGAAAGACAGAGAGATCGGGGTGCTAATTTTTTTTTCGAACGGAAATAACCAAATAGTCCGGTTTTGATGAAGTTGTTGTTGTTGCCCACTCTATACTAAGGTACGTATATAAAATTAAGAAAAAGAAAATAAGTGTTAAATTCTTGTGTTTAATTTTAGTTGTTGTGTGTTTAAAAAGAGTGGCAAAAAAAAAACAGAGACACAAAGAGTGAAATTCCGTGAAATCAAAATTAGAGAAACCACAATGATGAGCAAAGAATTAGATTTTTTTCTATCGTTGATACGAAATGAAAATAAATTTTGGATTTTCTTCCTCTGTCCGTGTGTGTATACATGTGTATATTATATTTGTTATATATATTTGGTGATTGAAATTTTCAACGTAACTTAGTGCTAGTGACATTTGAATGCAGAGAGTTTGGTTCATATATAAAACATGGCGACATTCATTTGTACTCTCATCAAACTAGTTCGCATTTGGTGTATACTTGTGTTGATGACTGTATGCGTGCGCGTATTATTGTATGTATAATATGTCTTGACAATTTATTCAGTCAAATATTGAAACGATTGCTGCTTTTGAATTGGATCACTTTGATTTTCATATTAACACAAATGCGAAATGTACGTTTTATGATATATATTTTTTTGTATTCAAAAGATGTGGTAGACATAAAATGAATACAAATAATATTAATAATTTCACCACACATACATTCTATTACCATTTGGTTTTTATCAGATGTGAAGGCTTCTCTTTCCCCCTCCCTCTTTGTTAGACATTTTCTTGGTAGTTCTATTTCATTTTATTTCCATTTGATTGGTTATAGTGATATGATTATCACAAGTAATTGTTTCATTTCATGGCTATTAAGGTTCAAGCATATCGTCGATATTACTAATGTTGTGTCCACGTATTAATTTTACTGTGCTAAAAAAGATTTTGATAAGTCAGAAGTGTATTTCGATGTGTTTTTTGACACGGTATAAATTGTGTATCTAAAATTAACACATTTTCCGTTTTGAAACAACTCGTTTTCACTTCTTCAAAATAAAGAAAAGGTATGATTGTGTTGTGCCCTTTTTATTCAAAACTACTTTAGCCGATTACATCAAAAAAAAAAAATCATTCAATTTTGCATCAAGGCAGTAATTTATATTGCCATACAAAAAAAAGACTGTCTACAGTTAGACCGAAAAAAATAAGTACGCACACATTATCAATTTGATACAATGCGTTCAAGCAAATCGTTAGCTCAACAGAGCAGCTGAAACAACAACAACTATAGTTATAAAAAAATGTATAACTCATTTTCTTTGCAACGTTGTCAATCGAAATATAAATATCGCAATCACACGACTGTAAAAAATAATAACATTCATCCAACACATCAATGAGTACAGTAATGCATTAAATATGATATATTTTGACATATATACTAGCGAACAATGGTTTTTAAAGTACTGGAAGAAGTAGACAAAAAAAATTCTCGCTATTATCACGCGCTTTCAAACCGCTCATTACAAAGCAATTGTGACTGGTTGTTTGAAATAAAAAAACACACACATATACAACTCTTCATCAAATTATTCGCATGTGTGTGTATGTGTTAAATTGTAAATACACAAATGCAGGCACAACAAAACAAAATGCTTTGAATATCGAATCGAAAACATGAAAAATTCATAATAAAATTGTTGTTCGCACTCTTATTTGATAATAAATTTTGGCTGCACCATTTTTTTTGACGTCAATCTATCTACATTACTCGGCATCGCAATAAAATGATGATCATGATGTAATTTCATTATATTTTTCTGGTAGAAAAACCGCAATCGAATACAATCGAAATATGTGTTTTATTTTCACTCATTTATCACCAAGAAGATGTTTTAAAGATAAAAAAAAATAATAATAATAATTTGCAAGTAATTTATCTACTTTTATTTTGTTAATTCATTAAATACATACATAATTTAAATATCTAAAGTACAAAGTACATTAGAATTCCATGGACATTTCATTTCTATTGAATATTTTTCGATGAAAGAACTAATTTTGATAAAATATTTGGATTTGTGGAGAATGGCATAAATTTCTTTTTATTTTTCTATTGTGTGGTTATTCTGAGTATTTGTAATTAAGACTGACTTAAGGTCAGTTGGTTGACACAGATTCAAAGATGAACACTTGATTCAAATGTTGGCCCTCTGAACAATATTAGACATTGAACTAATCATTTTTAATGTTTTTATTTATTTATTTTTTTTATTTTTTTCTACAAAAAGGTGGTGAATACAACAGGTAGTCATCTGTATGTACAGGATAAAAATCCAGATAATTAAGAAGAGAAGGTACTGAAACAACGCCGGTTAAAAAGCATTTGGGTTCGATAGGACATCATTTTCCCTGATCCATTAGTTCATTGGACATCAAGCGTTCTACAACAAACACAACAACAACCACAACAAAAAAAATTTACCGGCCGTACTAAAGAACAAAATTCATATACATCACAAAACACACAAACATTGCTGCAGAGTGTTAAAAAGTGTAATAATTAGAAACAAAGACAGCCAAAATGGAAATCAACGATAGAAACGACCGTGAAATAGCAGACTCTTATTTATCAAGTTTGGTCGATCTAACAAACAATAGTAAACCATTGATAAATATGTTAACGATGTTAGCCGAGGAGAATATCAAACATGGTCAAACGATAGTCGACACCGTCGAGCAACGTATATCTAAGGTTTTAATTTGTTCCTATTTATCAAATAATATCACGTATAAGAGTATAGCAATGAAAAACATAAAGCCGAAAAACGAAAAAAAAAAATCAATAAACAAAAATCATCAAATGGAATCCATTAAATTAAGAAAATAACACACATTTAATATAAAATAGATCAAAATGAAAGTTATTTCATGAGATTTAGTGGTTTCGGCGTTATATAAATTGATATCCAATCGATCGGAATTAGAACTCTCATGAACTCTTCCCATTTGGCTAAGTTGTACATTGTTTTTTTCGATTGTTTGCTTCATTTTAAATTGCCGTAAAGCGAACGAGCTGCCCGGCTAATTTCGACTGTCATAACTCATCACATTTTGTGAGAGAAAAAAAACACGTTACAAGGCTTCATATGCATCATTGCTTTGCATATAATTTTGACATAATATACTCTAAATTTATCGGTAGTACTCGAACAATTAATTTAGTTTCAAAAAAAAAACCTTAAAACCAGTCCTATTACATCCCAACCCTTATTCACATCCCTTTGTGATGCAATCCCATCAATTTATTGCCATTTGATAAAAAATTTCATTGTTTATCATCGTTATGTCACGCAAACAAATCATCAAATGTCTCAATTGTTCTCCTAGCTTAAAATTTGAAATACTGTGATTAAACGGAGTTTTACATAAAGATTTTACTTTAGTAATAACTGTGTGATATTAACTAGAAACGAAAAAAGAGAAAATAGAACACAATTTTATTTAACAGTGTAACTAAAAAAACGGCTATAAGCCAATCTACATTTTACAGCTAATTATTGCTTTTAAAAAAATAATAAAAGAAAAACAAAAAAAAAAATTAATTCAAACAAACAAGCAAAAAAAAAAGGAATTACAAGAAATAAAGCATTTGCACTGAAATAACTTTCTGTTGTGATGATATCAATTGATTTCTTGGAACGTTTAGTCTGAAACCGTTACAGATACCCTTATCACTTGATTTATACTGGATGAAAATACAACATGAGGTCGTTTTATTTTTCCGTTTGTCTTATTTAATTTTGCAAAAAGAAAAAAATGAAAGAGAAAAATTATCGAAGAGAAAGAGATACAAATGAAATTTTATATGCTAGAATTAGTCGAAATTCTTCGCATAGTCGTTATTTTGTACATATGCTGGTATGTCCTTCAATTTTATACCGAATTAGTAAATGAACAAGAAAACCTCCCCCCAAAAAAGAAAAGAAAACTCAAAATGGAGATAGACAGAGGATCCGACCATCATGAAATGCTCATTGAACCGACTGTGATGTCTTCCACGTGTCAACTTGTGGCGTCACAGCAACAACAATTCATCCATAAAGTCTGCATTGTTTTACATGATAGGTGATTTCCGTTCATGCCGAGAGGAACAACATTGTTCGACAACTGCAACATTTACTTCTTAATCCCATTTAGCTAATTTCTTATTCAAAATCGAGATTTTTCTTCAACACTTTTTTTAAAATTTGTTTTTGAGTGTTTGACACTCATGTGCGATGTGTTACGTTCACTTTTGGTTTGAAAAAAATGATGATCATTGATCGATTTTCTTTGTGTAGGATTCCGCTTTGAAAGATACATGTTTTCTCGTGATATCGTCCACTCTCTTTACTATTCTCGAATGGTTGGAAACATATTGAAAAAAAATTCAATTTTGTTTTGTTATAGCCCAACATTAATATTAGAAGAAAAAAAATTTGAAAACAAACACTATACCCATCAAAAAATATATATTTATTCTTTACAGTTTATCTTTTTGCTAAGATGACACAGTGGAAGTCGACTGTCTTTTTTAGATTTAAATCCAATTAACTATAAGATATATCTTCTTTTTTTTTAAGTGAGATTACTTCTATCACTGGGGATCATGATTTAGACAATTATATTTAAGTGTATGAATAATATGATTATCAAATTAAAAATTGTGATGAAAAAAAAAAACACTAGACTGTAAATGCGAATAAGATAAATGTGGTTTTGCATTTGTTATTTCAAAATTGTTTGTTTTGGAGACATACATTTGTTTTTTTTTTGTTTTAAAATTTATTAGTTGGAGTATTGATTTGATTTTGTGTTATCTTTAAAATTTCTTAAATTAAATTATATTCAAATTTATTTAGGTGGAGCCTGATTTGAAACTACCAATTTTGTATTTGATTGATTCGATTGTTAAAAATGTTGGTGACGTTTACGTTAACTTGTTTAGTCAATCCATTGTAAAAATATTTATTGGAGCATTCGAAAAGGTAAATTTCGTTTTTCAGTAAGCCCGTTACCGATAAGAAAACAAAATATTTAAGTCACATTGTCGATTTCGATGACTGTTATTGTTGTTTGTCCGTTTATTTTATTTTTTATTACAATTTTGTTTTGATTTTACTTATTGATTTTATGTTATTCCAATTTTTTTTTTCTCACGCATCTCGAATCCAGGTGAATGAAGATATTCGTAAAAAAATGTTTTTATTGAGACAAACATGGAATGACGTATTTCCAGCGCCCAAACTTTATACACTTGATGTTAAAGTAAATGCAATTGATCACAATTGGCCAATAACTGCACAGAAAATATCACCAGCCATTCATGTTAATCCAAATTTCTTTTCAACAACGGTACGTCAAGTGGCCATCAAAAAAATCCATTCAAATTTAATATTTTGTGATTTTATGTGTATTTAAAATTCATGTATTCTTCTCTTTTGCTTGTGGATTTGAATTTCTAGACGGAAAAAGACATTCAAACGGAGCTACAAATAAAGCAACGTGAATTATTGGAGTTAAAGAAACGAAAATTAGAATTAGAATTAGCGGCAACACAGAAACAATTGGGTATGACACCTTAAAAATTACCTTTCTATTATTTAATAATTGTTTTTGATTATTTTTTGATTATTTTTCGATTATTTGTCGATTATTTTAAGTTAATTCTTTTCTTTTGTGATTCTCCCCTTAGGTATGACAACATCACATTCAACAATGGTCGTTGATCCGATTGTAATTTCAAAATCCAAGGAAATGGGAAAACCACCTATAATTTCAAAACCAATAAATAGTGTCAATCCAGTAACATTTATTCCCAGTCAAATACCACCATCACGACCACGAATAGCTCCAGTTAATTCGGCATTGGTAAATAGTATGCGATCGCGTGATCCTCGTTTAGCACGACAATCAACCCAAACAGTTGCGCAAACACAACCACCTCTATCAATAACATCAATAAATGAACACTATCCTTCGAAATCATTACCCAGTAAGTATTTATTATGTGCCTAGGCCGTTTTAGTTTGAGTGTAATATTAATTCTCTTTTGTTTTCTTTTCTAATTTTTTTTTTCATAGTGGGTCCCATTCCTCGTATAAATAACACAAATTTTACCTCAAACCCCGATCGAAATCAGCGTATTCAACCAATTGATTCGATGCCTTCATACAATGACACAACGAATAAAAATCATGTCAACAATAGTAATAATTCAGTTGATGGTTTAAATAAAGATGATCAAAAGCGTAAAATTTCTCGGTCACCAAATAAACCATCCAAATCAAATATCAAATCCGGAAGCACCAATATAAGTAATTCGAAATCAAAATCATCGTCATCGTTATCAAAAAGTTCCAGTTCAAAAAGTGAGCGTAGCTCAAGATCTGCATCCAGCAGCTCAACGTCCAGAAAATCAAAAGGCCGAAAAGATGATAAGTCACCGCGTAAGTATGGTTTAATAAATATAATATTCAGATACGTTCGAATGTTGGCTGTTAATTTTTGGCCAATACAATCGAATTGGCGAAAGTGTATTATAAATAATATGTCAGTCGCTTTAAAATCATTATTGCATTTGTCTCCAGAACGAAAAAAAACATCGTCGAGACATCGCAGTCCTACAAGTCGACGTAGCTCGTCACCAGCCGACGGACAAAAAACGTCGTCGTCGTCGTCATCGTCGTCACGAAAATCTTCTTCTTCTTACGATACTAAATCGAAATCTTCTGATAGCAAGCACAGCAAAGAGAAGAACAGTGATAGTCATTCTAGTATTAGTAGTAAGTCTTCGCCAACTAATAAAAATCGCATTAGAAGTAGTCGCTCAAAATCACCGGTCTTGGCAATCAAAGCCAGTGACTCAATTCCAAAAGATATTGATCTTCGCGCCCAATTATCACAGCCGATTAGCATTACTAACTCTCTAATTAACTCGACAATCATCGAACAAGATGTCATTGTATCGACTGTAACAACTTCTTCTGTTCCTATCGGTTCGAATGCCATCGCGGATCGTAAAACAAATATTAATTCGGACAAAAGTAAGGATACTAGCGATAAGCTCTATTTTTTTTTAGATTAGATTAGAGATATAGTTGAAAAACGCACCGTTCAAATCGAAAAACATATTTTTTTTCAATTGCACTTTTACAATCATCACTACATTGGACAAAATGTTGTCGAATTGTAGCTGTTGTCAACTTTTTAGAGTAAAGAAATGGAACCCAAATCGAACCCAACAAAGTTGATAGATGTCATTTTAATTCATTGCATTTTGACATGATGATCCCATACATATCTATTAGTTTTGTTTATTTAACATGCCTAACCATAAGTCAGAGCTGAAAATTTCAATTTTAAATTTAATTGTGAACTCTTTGATTTCTTTTTTTTTGTCACAGAATTCGCTGAAGATGCACCAAAAGATGTTGATTTTCGAGTGGGACTAATTCCAAATATTGCAGCTAATCAATCAGTGATTGACTCAAAAAAGCGTCTTAACGAAGACAACGATACGGTTGAGCCAAAAATCAAAAAGACCAAATCTGAAAAAATAGACATGTAAGTTTTACATTTAAGTACATTCTAATTCCCAATAACATACTCAAACTATGAAGAAGAAAAAACTAAATTTGTGAAAAAAACAAAATTATTACGCAGATTGTTTGGAAAAGAGGATGTTGATCTGAGAATCCCACCACCATTGAATAGCATTTCCGCATCATCGGCAATTCCGGCACTTGAAGTAGATGTTAGTACAATGGGATCTGAAACAAATGCATCACATGCCAAATCAAACGACCAAGTTACTAGTTCTAAGAATACAAATCGTGATATTGATTTACGGCTTCATCGCGATTCAATTGAGGACAACTCAGAAGAATCAAACGATAAATTTAGAATGATTTTACAACAAGCTCAAGAGCAAGTCGATAATAATCCGGATGTTGATCCAGAGCAAATTCAAAGCATGGTTCAACAAATCATTAAAATAAAATGTGATTCAGAGGCTCGAAAAACGTTTAAACGCACCTTGGTCGGCAAGCCAAATAATAAGGTTAGCGAAAATGAGGAAAGTGCAGAGGCATTTAGTTCGGGTAGTGAAGATGAAAATCTGAAAAAATCACATCGTGTACCGTACAAGCGTCGTCGTCAAGAGAATGACAGGGTTCAATCAAACTCGAATTTACCATCCACCACCAATAACAATATGACCAAATCACCAAATAATGATCCACCATTGGCACCACAAAAAGTGCGTCAACGAAAGACCAAATGGAATTCACCATGGGAGGATCAAGTGAAACCGCCGGTACTACCGATGCAAACGCTCCCATCAAATATCATTCCACCAATGCCATTCGCACCACTACGACCAGTTCAACAACCAATGAACATCACAGCCGATGCCGAAAATATGCGCAACATGCGACAATTTTCATCACGAAATGCACCTGAGTCTGTTTGGCAACCAAATGCAATGCCATTCAATGGGCCAAACGTTAATTCTTTGGGTTTGATGAATAACGCTGGCATTCCGACAAATTTGTTAAGCGGTGGTCAAATTGTAATGGCACAACATGGTCCAAGTTTGGCGCCATGCACGGCCAAAGATCGAACGATTAATATCGATGGCGTTCCACGGGAAATTCGTTTTTATGATGAAACAGCGATTGCATTTATGGAGAGCAATGGCCGAGAACCGAAAGAAATTGGTTTTCAATCTGGTGAACGACGTGTTTGTGTTGACAACAACGAATCGATTCTATTAGCATTCAATGATACATATAAAGCGTTTGTGATAAATGGTAAAACATACCAAATTCGATTTGGAACGCCCACACGAGAATTGTATATTGATAATGAGTGGTATGAATGTTACTTTGGTGATCCATCTGTTGGAATTGTATTGAATGGAAAATTACATTCGTTTCGCATTGATGGACCTGCTCCACAGGTTCGCATTGGAAATCTACGTAATGATTTGGTGGTCGGAAAAGTCGATATGTATATTGACATTCAAACAAAGGTCTCACTCTTTTTGGATGCTCAAGTGCAAATGTTCCAAATTAACAATCAAGTGCACACAATCCAATTCGCTGACTACTTTTTGACCGTGATCATCGACAATATTCCATTTCCAGTGCAATATGGAGCCATGCCAACAAAATTTCAATTATCCAATTCGGAGCACTATATTCGTTTTGCGGTGCTTCCAAATAATATTCTTCCAGGTGAAATTTACGTACGAAATATGAAACGAACGCATTTACAACGGGATTTGGTTTCACCGGTACCAATGATAGGTAATATAAATAATATACCGGTAACGATTCCACCCGTATCTGGACCCATTTTACCACTTATGTCAATTGTTCCAAATCCAGATGTTATCACATCGAATTCAAGCGCAAACACACTGCAACCGAATACAAGTCAAGCAACACTACCTGTGATATCTGAATCGAGTAATCCGGCAGTAGATATAAATGATCTCTATCAGAAATTATTGGCATCTGGAATTTTAAATAAGGTTAAGGAAAAAGAAAAGGAAAAGGAAAAAGAGAAGGAAAAAGAAAAGGAGAAACCATTGCCAGTTTTGTTAAATAAACCGGAAACGCTTCGAAAACGGCAATCAGCTATTATAAATCAACTATTTTCTGGTTCACAATGCAGTTGTTGTGGTGTCCGTTTTCCATTGGAACAAACAATGAAATACAGTCAGCATTTGGACTGGCATTATCGACAAAATCGTCGGGAAAGGGATTCGGCACGTCGTGCACAGTCACGAAAATGGTATTATAGTGTATCTGATTGGATTCAGTACGAAGAAATTGAAAATGTTGAAGAACGCGAGAAAAATTGGTTTGAAACGCAACAAACCGAAGTGGATTCGGCAAATGAAGAATCGAATCAGCGATCGGCTTCACCGCCACCAAGTTGTATTGCCGGACCCGACGATCACAATAAAACTTGCGACGTATGCCACGATCCATTTGAAACATTTTACAATGAAGAGACGGAAGAATGGCATCTGCGAAATGCCATTCGCATCGAGGAGTGTATTTATCACCCCATTTGCTACGAAGATTATAAGGTAACACCATTTGCGGCCATCAAATATATATATATATATATATGTGTGTTTTTTAACATTTTCATTTTGTTGCATTTCACTAGGCATCGCTTACATTGGATGAGTCCCAGCTAAATACGTCAAACCTTGGCGATATTTCAACGGATGACAATGCAGTTGATTTACCAATTAAACACGAAGACGAATTATCAATGGTGACAGGACTTCCGGTCAACAGCAATGAACGCATTCCAATTTTGGATGATGATGATGATGTCATCGTTTTGCCACAAGAAGAACCAGTCATCACTGAAATTCCAGACGATGATGATCATGAGGTGATCGATGATTCAACTTTATCAAATAAATGCTCGAATAGCCAGGAAGGAGAATCAGAAGGAACGACCACAAATGCACAAGGTACAATGTGTGCACCGCAAGTTGCGGGCATCTCTAGCCAGCTACAAAGTCAAAGAAAATCTAATGAAAATGATTCTTATGAAGGTTTGTTTGATTAATTTATACGTCTACCTCCCTAGATACAAACTAATACAAACCAATGAAATATTTAAAAAAAAATCTTCCTCTACCTTAATTAATTTAATTGAAAATGATTCACACTAGATGAAGATGCAGGTAAAAACAACGAATCTGATGTGCAAATTTTAGAGCCACACATTTCAATCTTAAACTTGGATGAATACGAAGAGACCGATTTATCGTCGAATAAACATGATGAATCGCGTCCATTGCCAGTAGTAAAAATAAAAGAAGAGCCCAAGTATGAAGGATACGAAGACGATGAGGATGATGGTTTCGAAGAAGTTGGCACATTTGAAGCCGATCCTACTGAAATATTTGATGATGGAAACGGTAAGATCAATTTGAATAATTTATTCTATTATTTTAGATGACAATACTGACAATACACTACGATAAACCAATCAATATGAGGCGGATGTGCATTGAAATATTTCCTTATAAATAATTTGTTGATATCGATTTTATTTTTATTTTTTTACATTAATTTCTTTGTAAATGTTTTTCAATTTCAGTTGAAGATAGTCAGCCACCGATTCAAACACAGACAACAATGATCACATCACTTGATGGTAATATCGAAATGCAAGAGGAGCAACCAGTTACAATCGGTACAAATAAGATAAAAATTAATATATCCAAAAATGTACAGTTGAATAAAAATTCAATAAACTCTAGCGAAAGTGTTGATAATAATTTAGAAAATAATAAAGAATCGACGGATGCTCAATCGCAAGGCACCGTCAACAATAAAAGTGTTATTACAAATGAAACAGATCGATGTGAAAATGGTTCAATTGACGGAACGTCAGGCAACAGTATTGCTACTACAGCAGCAACAGACGTTGCTGCTACCAGTGATTCAGCAAACAGTGGCATGGAAATCGAATTTGAGGTCAAAGATTCTATAAAGCATGTACAATTCAAGCGGCAGCCAGTTGTTCGGAGTGGCCTCGAAACGTCTGGTTTGTGTTCTATTATGTAAATACGCTTTTGACGTGGACACATTCACATAGTCGAACATTTATACAGGCGTTGTCCAAGCTACACAAGTCAAACAACTCATGTCTAATTGTAAGTTATTTAAAAAAAATAAATAAATAATTGGAATGAAAGGAGTTATTTCAATAAAAAACAATAAAGAAACATTTAAATAAAAAAACAAAACAAAAATAATCTCTTTTAATTAGATTAAAAAAAAAAAAAACAATTGAACACATTGGTAAGAACATTTGCAAAAAAAATTAATTAATTTAAAATACAGGAATACATAATAAATCGGAGTATGATTTTTTTTCTAAATAAGTAATTAAGAAATTAAACCGATAGGTCATATGAATAAAAAACTAATTACTAATGAACTAATGATCATCAAAATATAGTTTGAATTTTTAAACGTAGAGAATATTGACCCTTCTCCAATCGTTTTTCCTTCAGAGAGAAATAAACATATTACTTTAAAAATTAAATTAATTAACCGTTTAGTTTTATTGAAGTTCTGATTATTTTTTATTTTATACAAAGACATACAAATATGATACAGTATATACGCAGTAGTTTGTTAAAAAAATAAAACCAATCAATAAAAACTCACTTCAGAAATTTAAAACACGCATTTTTCTATCACATTTAAAATATTTCGTGATTTACTTTTATGAATGCAACAGTATCAGATCTTTTCGCAAAAACTGCCATAAATTAAACACATGAAAAAAATGAATTGGTTGACTTTGTTTTGTTTTTATTGTTTTGTGTCACAATCGTGATAAACCGATTAAATAATCATTGAAGCAGTGAAAATAGAAATATTTTAATTTTTTACATTTTTAAAAATATAAATGCTTTGTTTTGTTTTGTAGTTTCCGGTGGTTTCGTGAGATTTACTGCACAATATTCAAAAATATTAAATTAATAAAAAATGAAGTGGTTGACATAATCTCACTTTCGTTTTAATAATTATTTAATCACAAAATTAAAAAACAAAAGATGTTTTATTTTCAAAAATGTAAAAGATTAAATTCCATTTATTTCTACTGTTTTATTTTAAGAGTTTAACGCAGTTTAATCGATTCATTATGATTTTGCCAAACCGTGACGGCCATATTGTCAAATACTTCGATTAGTAGTCGGAATACGTATTAGAGGTGTTGTTAGTTACGGGCATGATCAGGCTTCGTGCGTTGCTGTAGTGATGCTTGTATGAAAATACCAATAGATATTTTAACATTTATTGGTAAATTTGCAATATACCAATACATTTGAACAATTCCACTACTACTGTTTTGTGTGTGCATGTCTTCAAAATATGATCCTTTCAAGAAAAGGGTCAAAATTCAGTTCCACGGCCATAGATGGCACTAAATGAGGTCATTGCCCCTGAAACATCGATATTCTGATTCTAGACCTTTCCAACGATACCTCAAACGTCGAAATCGATGAATCCGTTCAAAAAATTTATTATTTTAAAAATGTCATATGAATCTCTATGAAATATCAAAATGCCTATCTGTCCGAGATTTTGCGTAGTCGATTCTGATCTTTTTGAAACTTTCTATGATTAAACTTTTTTGTTCCGGCACTTTTCGAATTGGCCATCGAATGACGCCAATTTCTGTCCAAAAATGTCGATTTGGAATGGCCAAATTGGCCAAAAACCGATTTAAGGCCCAAGCGTGAGCTACAAAATAGTGCCCAGAAAATTCTTGTTTTCGAGATATGAATTTGATAGCGAAAATATGGCCAAAAATGGCCATTTTTTCAAACAATCGCTGTGGCACCTAAACTTGATATGACCAGGACTTATGCATATTCGTTGGAAAGAACTTAAAGTAAGCTTTCGAATGGTGCCGATTGCGACTTAAAAATTTCAATTTGTGGTGGCCAAATCGGCCAAATCGGCCAAATCGGCCAAAACTCAAAATTTTACCGTCTGGCCGGATACATAACGGATATTTTCTCGATAAAGACTCCATAGTTTCTTTTGATATCAGAAATTTTGTGTTTCACATTTTGGTTTCGTCACTCGCTCTTTACCTCGTCAGAGGTCTTTTATTTGATTATAAATACTCCCAATTAAGGACATTGATATATCTTTGTCTCTCGATGAGGATAGCAATTGGACTTTACATACAAGAAAAAGGGTTTATTGGCACGAGAAAACTGAATATGATGTTATTTTTGCGATACAAATAATTTTTGATACTATAGCGTGAACCCAATGGAATTAGCAAGCAGAGTGTATGCTCTTCATAATAGTGCTGAAATGTTGCTGCGTCCTTCTGAATGTGTACTATTGCCGGTGATTTTGAATGCCGGTGAAAGTGTGGCATTTTAATTTTTCACAAAACATTTTCGATGAGTATCTTAACAAATATATGCTCGAAAATGAATGTTCGTCTTCTCCTGAGGTTTTATTCAAATGCAACACCATCAACACCATATAAAAATTAGGAATATATGTCAGGAGAAGAGCTATGAGGAACTGAAGGAGAAAAGTATCCGATTTACTGCTCTGAGAAACAGTTGTTGATTTGGTTTTTGTATGACGGCGTTACATTACTTCAACTTAGGAAAAATGGATTTTTGCTCACTATATATGCCAACAAAAATATTTTGAATTTATAATCGAAAAATAATTAATAAATTACAAATAAACGCAACGATCGCATACACACATTCTCTTATTTATAATCAGATTTAATAACATTTGTGGGACTTTAAATTTTATTCAGAAATTGATCCGAAAATTTATTTTGTTTGTATATTTACCATCAATTTTGTTTCATCATCTTCATTATCTTGAGATAAGATAATAGAAAATCATGGGGGAAACCACTATTACATCGTAATTCATATAATTCCATCTAGTACAAAAATAATTCCAGATAATTCCATATATTTCAAATAGTAGTAGAATAGTGCACATGACTTAGTTTTGACAAGGGGCTTATGACTGATTCGAACCTATCACTGATTCGTGAAATCTCATTCAAAATGATTAGATTCTTTTCAAGAATCTCTTCATACATAATGAATGGTCGTAGCTCGTAACGGTGCGAATCATTCGAATTAGTTATTAATGTAAATTTTAAATGGAATCAGTGTGCATCAATGGAGGAAGAGAGATAGAAAGAAAAGTTTATAATTTGTTTTTCAGTTTTTGTTCATCATAACATAAACTATGATAATAAGTGTACGACAAGAATCTTAACAAACAAACTCAAAGAAAATTTACAATGCAAAACTCAAAGTAATTCATCAATTTCGAAAAATCTCTTTTGTGTAAAATAAATGACACAAATAAGTTAACACAATTTTTGATAAAGAAAAACTAAGATGTGAAATCGGCATTCTGTCATTCAAGTTTTTTCACTTGCATTCATCACAATCTGTTTGTTTTGCAAAAATTGAAATGTTTGTATTAAAAGTACATTTTTTCCCTCGGAATGTCTTCAAACCTGATGAGTTAATGTATCGATGAAAAAAAGACTGAATCAGCAAGTGTCATTTGAATAGTTTCATTTACGTTTTCAACACACAAAAATATAAGTTATTCAAGAAATTGAATATATTTTTCAAATATATCCAGTATGTGGACTGAAGAAATAATAAGCAGACGCCTAATTTGGGACGTTTTACAAGAAATTTAAGAACGTGATGATTTGACAAAAGTGTCTACAAGAAACAACGTTTGTTTAAAATTTGAATGAAATGTAAATGTTGAAAATAAATAAAAAACGATGCATGCAAACGATGAATTTCGGAAAACATTTTGCTTAAATGTTGTTTATTGGATCCAATCTGTGTCGTTTCATCACTGAGTGAAATTTAAATAAAATCAGCAATATTAATTGAAGAAAAAATGATTTGAATGGCGATTCTTGTTTCTTCTTAAAATTGCATTGCTCAGCAATGAACGATCACTTCTCGCTTCGGTTCAACAGAAAAAAAATGTAAGTTTCTTTTAATCACCATTTTACAAAACAAATTCATTTCATCTGTTCGTAAACTGATCAAATATTATAGTTCATCGAGCAAAAAAATGATAACAAGTGATGCTCGAAAAGCAACAATTTGTGCATAATTGACAAAAAATGTAAGCTCATGTCGTCCAAGTTCGGTACAAAGTTGTGTGCTACAATATGCGCATGTGAGCTTGTTGACCTGTTTATTAGGCATTCACACTTTATTATCAACGAATAAAGTTATATATAGACGTGGGTTGCATCTTGCATTGGACTTCATCATACTCGGTAGAAAATATTTTTTATCATCTAAATAAAAAAAAACATATAGAACCCAATCGAATGAGAGCTTGCAGAGCTAGTGGTGATATATTATAATCATCTCATGCCTCAAACAACAAAAAAGCTTTAAAGTATTGATCAGCATTTTTCGTCATCTATAAAATCGCATGAGATGATTTATAATCATCATTGACTTCTATTTCGCACTATAGAATGAAAGTGGTACTGCTTTTAATTTTGTGTTTTGTCTGGTATTCAAAACCATTTGAATTTAAATACGATGACATCAAGTTTTATATAATATCTGCAGACGATCCTAGATGGTATCGTTCAAGATACAATGAGGTTCCAAAATTGAATTTTACTAGTTTCAATAGTAAATATGAAACAATTTTTGCCATCCATGGTTTTTTGTCGACAAAATTTTTCACTCCAGATTTTGTCAGATGTAAATATCAATTTTTTACAATAATAAATATAATCTTTCACATTTTTTAATTAATTCTAAATTTCAGTGCTTTTAAAAGACCCGACAAAAAAATTGAACATCATAGGCGTGGATTGGGGAAAAGGTGCTATCACATTGAATTATTCAAGAGCAGCAGCTCACACCAAAATGGTTGGAGAAGCTGTGGGGATGTTTATAGAAAACGCAGCAAAAGATAACTTAATCACATTAAATAACATTCAATTGGTAGGACACAGCTTAGGAGCGCATATAGTGGGTTTTTCGGCCATACACCTTCAGTCCAAGAACATCACATTATCTTGGTTGACAGGATTAGATCCTGCATTGTCATTGTTTGACAAACCGTGTAAGAATCGAATTTGTTCAGACGATGCCGATTGGGTGGAAATCATCCATACCAACGGTGGAACATAAGGTAAAATCGTTCACTACTTTCAAAAAATATTACTTTGTCAACTTAAACTTTTTTTTAAATTTTCAATAGGGATATACAGGGCCATAGGAGACGTGGATTACTATTTGAACGGCGGCAGAAATCACCCACATTGTAAAAAATATGATTTCATCTGTTCCCATATGTATGCAGAGTATACAGCAGCGGACACGCGAGTCAAGGGACTGCACTGTTCGAGTATAAAGGAGTTAGAGACTTCAGGATGCAAAACAGAACATTTTTACTTTGGCCCCAAGCCACAGCCGAGAATACCCGGAATAACATCAATTTCGACAGTAAAGGTAAGCAATTGTGAGGGACACACACAAGAGCCACAAGAGCCACAAGAGCCACAAGAGCCACAAGAGCTACAATTGCTTGACATAATTGCTAGTTTAGTATTTTTAATATTGTCAACGTTATAATTGAAATAAAATCGATTTTGTTTGGCGAATGCGCTCATTTACTGAACCATTCGTCCGATTCGTTTAGATGTGCAATTCTCTCATGAAATTCTTTGTTGTTTTCTCCATTTCGTGGTGTGATTCTAAATCAAAATTAACAACAGCAAACCCGTTTATTTATGAATGCCAAGGGAACGACTGTACGCACATGTTTCGCTATTTATTTGGGAGCGAACAATCGCGCGCCTGCTTCAAATGGGGAAGCAAACGAATCACAACTAATACGCCAAAGATAATATGGTGTGTGTTTTTTCGGGCTCGTTATTAAAATCGCTGCTAATGTTCAAAATGTTCTGGGGGCTGCGTGAGTTGGATTTTTTTTGTTCGCTTTATTTTTTGTTTGCGTGGCATTTCTCGAATAATTCATTTGTGTTTTGCAATCATATAACTCGTTTGTTCATTTCTACTTTTGGTTTTATTACAGTTTATGATTATTTGGTATTGCATTATTCCCATAGTTTTTTTTCTGTGTTCCGCGAAATGCTGGTAAATACTGATAACGCGTTGCTTTTATTATGGAAGTCATATCCGTTTGTTGTAATGTTTTTTTTCTTCTTCTGTTTGTTTGTCTTGCTCTCGCTCCCATCATTTGAATGGTATTTTCTACAAAAATTTATTGTATTAATTAATAAAAAAAAGAAATAGGAGTGCGAAGTGCGAACGTATAGTTCGACCGACCACTGCAAACATGCACAGTCTTGCGAAACCGCACACACACACACACCAATACTACGAACGAGCGAGAAACCAAAACCAAATACAATGCGATACGAACAATCGATCTGGTCGTCCCGCTGTGTGCGGAGCACAGCACTGATGGCGACTATGTTGATCTATAGGTCAAGACCTTTCGTTTAATACCCACGTCGACTGTAACATTATCGAAATTGAGTTAAGCCGTGTTAAATCATCCAAGATGGAGTGGTCCAAGTTGGTCCAAAATAGAATGTTAGCCATGATGGCTTTATGACAAATCATCAGTCAAAATTTGAGCCAAATCCGCCATCGCAGACAAGAGCTATGGAGGTGGACAACTTTTGGAAGAGAAGGAGAAAAAAAGAAACAAACCCAATGCAATAGCCCTACATTTCATGTAGTGCTAAAAAGAGTTCATGAAAAGAAACAAATATTCACGACAATTTCTGAAACAGTTTTATTTTAATTCCAAGTTTCGATTTGATTGATTGTATTTTGATCAGAATTCAAAGTCAAAGTTAAATCATTCATCAACGATTGATTGAATGGCTGCCAATTCCCTCAGTAGGTCGGGCATTTCACTTATTGGTCCGCTTTTTACAATTTTTTGCATGCCTCTTATCTCAAATTCAACTAAACCAACAGCATCAGTAACACATTTCTGCATATACCTGACATGGTAATCGAATCCAGATTCATCATATGGGATGTCCATTGCAATTGTTTTAAGATCATTGATTGGCCATTGGGCCACTTTTTTACCTAAATAATGAAGCATAAACCCGAAACTTTCGCGAAAGAGACTGCCATAATCAAATGCCACTACGAATCGAAATGATCCGTGAAGACTTGCTAAAAATGATTCAATACGATCTGGCTGGTATGCATGACAAAGAATATACTTTGGGTTGGGTCTCCATGATGGATCTTTTGGATTCACTATGATAGGATAATCATCATCCGTAATTATGACTTCTAAATTCCCATCATTACTGAGGAGACTAACAAGTATATGCATAATTTTTGGATTTACTCCAAATACAACGATTGTTTTATTGCCTTCTGCTCCATCACGTTCACTTAATGACAAAAAATCAAATGAAAAATCAGTTCATTATTGAAAGAAAATGTTGCCTTTTTGCGTTATTTAAAACAAATTCTATATAGTTTTGTATTTCACCTTGCTTGCGATTGTGATTCCATTTCTTTGTTATTATAACGATGTTAGAATTGCTTACGTTATAATATTCTTCACTTTATTGATTTTGCTAAAAAAATTAAATTTCTAACACTTATGAAAACTTGAATGCCAAAGTCGTACCAAACGTATCACAAGTTCGAATAATAGTCACAAACTCACCGACAGTTATGGAACTATTTATTTGATTTCAAACAAGAATTTAAAGTCTAAAGAGCGTTTTTGATAACGAATTTGAATGTTAATAGTGCACGTGGAATCTGCATGGTGAAATACTGCGTCTTAATTTTAACTGATAGCTGAACAAAAGGAATTGGTTTCTTTTGTTCTCAAAAATCTAAACAATATAGGCACAAAATATATTTTTGAATGCTCTTATCGCTAATACTTCGATTATTCATTTTGGGCGCGAACAAATATTGAGATGATAAGTAGCACTAAGATCTCTAATACAGTAGCTTTTTTATATGAAATCTGTCACACTAACGCCCTCACTCTATCTTTTGGCGAACTAAACAGAATAAAGTTTAATATAAAAGTAAAGTCTCCATCAGGATATTTTATACAGCCGGTGTCAAGATCAATAAAACTGTTAATAGAATCTGCCATTTTAACGCAATTTTGCGATGTGATTGCCAGATTAAGAATATAAATAAAATAAATGAACGGAATAAACGAGCTTAACAGAGCAGAATAATTCGCACGAGTGTATGACAAGTATGTAAGAGAACAATAACATTACGTTTTGTATCTATCTGTCAAATGTCACACTCACTCTTATGAGTTTACGTATGGAGATTTTAACAAAATCATTTCTACAAGATCTACACACTCTACACCCGAGGCTTTTTAAGTTAAATTAAAACGCATATAAATTTATGTTTTTTTTTTTAAATAGAAATTATCTAATGCTAATTGTGCTAACTTCACTTTCAAAACAAAAAAATGAAACAATTTATTAAATTATTTTTCAACAATTTTTGGAATAACATATGCGCTCATTCTCAAACTTGTGAAATAATATCCCATTCTATATATAGATGGCACTGTCTATACGAAGTTCGGCAAACAAAGCATTACGCTTATTGAGCGCATTACACCTCTTGTAGCACTACAATAAGAAATGATAAAAAATATAATACAGCTTGTCAATTTATTTTATTAGGAAAAATATTTAATTATCAGCAAGTGAAAATTTATTCTCCTTACGAGAATTTATTTCCCTTAACTTTACATCATTAGCGATAAAATATTAAGTACTACTACAAAGAAATTTATAGAAAAATAAAAAAAATCCTTCCCACGGAATTATATTTTATTCCATTGTTGCTTTTGATGTGCAATTGAGACAAAAGCTATTCTGAATGATGCAGGTGATTGGCATATTGGGATCGAATATAATGGAAATGCGGTCTCTAGATATATCCTGAAAATAAAACAATGCATGAAAATTTAACAACAACAACGAAAACGCCTTCAACAATACATACGTTCAATACAGATTCAGTGATTTTGGATCTGCCTCCAACTAAAATATCCAATTTTGGGCGACTACTTTCTTGACAAAATAAATGTTGAATATCGTGAATAGTTCGATTTGTTACTTGAAAGCACCATGAACAATCGAGTTTTGTCAAATTGGGTGACATTCGAACTAAAGACATTAATCCTTCATCACTTAAAATGATATTATCAAAACAGCAAACTGTTTTAAGTGACGGCATTAAATTCAGTGTTTGAAGATGTTGATCTGTGACCCAAAAGTTTTTTCGAAGCTTCAGTGTATGTAATTTATGTAATTGTGAAATGACACGATACGAATGCATTCCCAAATTACAATGATATAGATCTAGCTCTTCGATATTTTTGATATCACCTAATTTTCTCAGTAAGCAATCGACAATACGATCATTATAAACGGAGTAATCAAACAACCGAAGACATCGTAATTTTGGCAATTTAGCTATGAATTGTATGTGCGATGTTGTATTCACATCAATACTCATGGTTTCAATGTCTTGCAAATACTGTGCAATTCCATTAAAAAAATATTCATCAGCATCACTGTTCTTAAAATCGACTAATGCAAATAGTGACAATTCGATGAGATTTCCATTCTGCTGAAGAAATTCTTGGAACGAATCTGGACGAAATCCTTTGCAACGATGAAGTTTCAATGTGGTTAAGCTTATTAAATCCGACATACCTAAGGGGAGAATCACAAAAGAAAAGAATACAATTTATTTAAAATAATAGAAAGGCAATTTTTGGACATACCACTTGATGTTTGCAATGAAGATGACAAAGGAAATGGTTGTTCCACCCATGATGATGGTTCAATCACAAATCGTCGATTGAGCAAATCGTTTATTTCAGTATAATCGCATTCATCCAAACTCAACGTTTTTAAACGTTTCAACAATGGTTTGAAACGGTTAAAGTTCAAATGTGACCATTTTTTCATTGTCAAACTCTTAAGTTTCGGACAATAATTCTGTACCATTTCCAAAAATTCAATAATATCAACTGAACTTTGATTCCGTTCACTGATTGGAACATACAAACTTCTTATTTGTATTCCGATTGTTTGAAGAAAATGCTTCAGATTAATTGCCGTCACATTTGTGACGGTTAATGAAAACTTGCGATTTGAAATGAGCGGTAACACATTCTGAAATCTCGAGGACGTACACACAATGTTATACAGATCGTATATATTTTCAAGCATTTCAAATATATGCGCCAAACAATCATCATTTAACTCGTCTAGCTTGGTGTCTGGTATAACGCTTTTTAATGCGCATATTTCTGTATAACCAAAATAAACGAAAACAAACAAAGCAAACTCAAAATATTAGATATGAATCGAGTATTCATTCGTTGTTCGGACTAAATCATATACTTACTGTGGATTTTTTTGAATATTTTCAAAGGTGATGCATCTCGATGGCATGGAAGTAAATGATCCATTTCAATGCTATTGCCGGCACCAATGTTGTCAATGTGAAAAGTCTTTTAATTTTGTACAGTCATTTAACGTTGGTCATCAATATGCGTCAAGAATCTATTCAATCGATAAAAAAAGAAGAAGAAACGTATTTTACTCGAATACTCAAACAAAATAAAATGCGCACAGAGTTCACTATTTATAAGCTCCTCAAATGTTTTCAAGGTAATTGTGATAATTGCGTTCTTCATAGAAATGCAACCGAGATTTTTAAAAAAATGAACTCAAAAAAACTGTCAACAGACGAGGTGAGTGAGTTTTTATCATTCTAAGGTAATAAACGTTGTTATCGCATATGTACTCGTACAATAACTCTCATTCATCCCAGACTTATGGGGAGTAAAATTCCTTTCACGGACAAATTCACACGCTCGTAAATAATTCTGACTCACAATATTTGGATATATTTTAACGTTTTAACCAAAACGGCTATCCACAAAATCTTTATATCGAAAACTAAAGCCAAACCGAATGAATAATTAAAAGTCTTTGGCGAGAATATCTTTAGAAATTCAGAAAAACCGTTTTTACGAATACAAGTTACTACGCTGGTTCTTTGAAAATATTCAAGCCTATGTAGTAGTAACTTGAGAGAAAGTCTCACTGAAGATAGTGCAAAGTATTTGTAAATATTACAGAAAAATACAATGTTTTTAAAAGTATATAGTCGTGCAATTTGCGCTATGCTAATTGGGATATTTTTTGCTCCGTTTTTTAGCGTATGTGTAGTTTTTGAGTCATATTATAATGATTCGGGCTACTGGTTCGATATTAAAATTTCTCATGAATCGTGAATATTAATTTTGCGATGCATGTTTCCTTTACACTTGAATTTATAAAAACCGTTCATTGTATATCGCACCTCTGCTGTACGTGACGACAATAACAGTGTGATAATAAATTTTATCAGATCGATATCCACAATCGGTGGCATTGTTGTTGAAAACAAAATTATTTTTATCATAATCATTTATTTGTGACGCCGTTATTGTGGTCGTTGCACCCGAAACGTTTTTTTTTTTTTTTCACTTTCAGCGATGATCTTTGAAATTTGTAGTACGAAGTAATAGACAATGCAAACAAGTTAAAGTGCGCAATGCGCATGTGGTGACGAATTTTGTATACTATTTGAGTGGTTTTTCTTTTTAGTTGCGCACATTTGGCATTAAACTGATACAATCAAAGTACGAAAATAAAATGTAATTAAGAAACATTTTTTTAAATTGTTTTTCGAAGAGTAAATAAAAACAAATGTTACAATTTACACATTTAAAAACGATCGATATCTGAAAGTATTCATTATTTATTTTGTGTGATTTTTCGGTTATATTACATGAATTTGTTTAAATTTTGCGCAACTTTATTATGATGATAAAAAATACAATATATTATTTAAACGTCAATAAAATAAGCCAATTGTTTTGTATCCCATAACATTTTTTGCCTCACTACGTTAAATAAATGAAATTGAACACTTGCTTGTTAATCAAAGTTTTACAATATATACGCGACAAATGGATGTGCGGCACATTTCAAAACAGCAAAAATATGCACACAATACATCTTATCGACAACGCGAATACATCAACTGGAACGCCAAATAAAAGACAGACGAATTTCATGACCTCATATTCAGATCAGAGCTTCCAGACAAATGAATTCACACAGACAAATGAATGTTCGAAATATACAATACACCACTAGCAACCGCGACACGTTATGAGAATGATACGAAACAACACCAAAATAATATTACTGAATAATGTGAAGGTTATTCTACCAAGAAAAAAAAAGATCACCAGACGTGATTCTAAAAACCAACGATTTTACACGGTGTTACGTTAAATGCATTATAGAATATATATATATATATATATTTTGGATAGTCTGGGATCCATCCAGTTTTGTGAAAATATTTTGAACGATTTCAACCAACCTTACTAAAAAAAAGCAGTACAACCTTACTGGAGTTTACTGGAATCGACAACAAATTTTTTCATAAACCGAAGTGACTGTAATAATTGATGTGTCAAAAATTTAATTTAAATCGAGGGATGAGTGAATTTGAACTGGCCTGAAGAAGACGCGAATATAAACAAAATTCAAAAACAAATGAGAAGCTATGTCGTACCAAAATCCAAAATCGACTGATAACACACGTTGCTGATAATAATGTGTGCCACAAAACAACAATAACGTAATAATAACAAACTAAACAGCTGATAAGTTAAAAAAAAAACTGAAACGGCGTTGAAATGAGTAATACATCTCTTATCTTAATTTCACATTGTACAAATATAGCAGATTAGAATGTAATCATATCTTACCATTTCCCCCCATTTTTACACAAAATCATAGCCAAATTTTTTACTTTATGTAGATCACTTCATCAAATGGCCAGAGCGGTTTTGATTGTAAAATTTGAAGAAAAAAAAATCAATAAATATAAACGAGGATTATGTCAAAATGATTAAAAAACCAACTAATTTCCCATGTAGCTAACTTTTATTATTAAATTTGACAATTTTACGTTAAACAAAACTGTATGTACTGTTTAGATGTTCACCAACCGATTGGAATATTGAAGTCTTCGACCAATGAATTCAACCATGAAATTAAGGGCTTATAATAGAGAAGCAAGGCGTCAGCTCTGACTTCTCTGCTTCCAGTAAGCATATATAAAATCTCGGTCCAGTGTTTTGAGCTACCCAATTGAAGTGCTTTCCTGTTTTTTTGACATAAATTTAATTTTTTTTAAATATTTCATTTAATGGTTTGTTGACACAATTCATACTTTATTAATTTTCCAGCCCGTTTTGATCCGTAAATATCGCATCGATGCAGAGGCATGGGCAACGGTTTTTTTGTTTTTACCGTGTCAAAAATTGTCACTTTACAAAGCCCTTCAAAGATCTGTGCTTGAATAAAACTTGCTAGGAAATATCTGGATTTGAATAAATGGAAGAAAATATAAATAATTAAAATGAAAAACCATGAAACAAAATGGCTTGAGTGTTATATTTGATACAATCAATCTACCATATGTTAACATTTAGTTGAAATACTATGAAGTTTGAATCGAGTTCAGTATCACTATCAATGTTATCAAAAAAATTATTTACCGTGTAAATGGGGTATTATCCGATATATGAAATTTGGCACCAAGATCGAAGTATTCATGTCGATCTTTCCAGTCCGGTGGATGAATGCCCTGCTCATTGAGTGCTAAGTTCCAGTAAAGTGCATTTGCATCATTCATCGATACTGTTCCATTGAAAAGTTGCCATCGAAATGCGTCCATCAGGTATTGGAACGGTATGGCAGGAATTTTATGCAAAGCCATATGCAATAAAAGTGCCAAATCAAAGTCATTTATTTCACGTGTCAATTTCGATTCGTATTCAGAATACTCTGATTCCAGTTGATTCAGAGTTGATAATTTTGGATAAGGTTTTCCATTAACTGTAATATAATCATCATTCAAGTCAGTGTGATCAGCGTTGAGATTTTCTGCTTTATTTCTTTGATTTTGCTGCCGTGAATGTATTATTCTCATCATCGATTCCGTAAACACTGATGGCTTGTTAGACATAAGATATTTATCTGGTAGCAAATTCAAGCGATTTAAATGATGTGGTGTCATGATGCCAAGGAATATCGCATCGCCAATGCTCTCTTGTATAGCAGCATTACCATCCTATTCAGGATAACGACAGGTTATTGTCGTCAACAATTTTTTTTATTATGTTTTAATACCTGAAAAACAGTTGGCTGGTTCTTATAAGCCATAAAGTACTGCAAGTGACCCATTTCATGGACAATCACACCAAAATCACGAACTGTTTGTTCTGCACAAACAATCATTCTATCGAAAAAAAAAATAGGAATCAATCAATTCTTATCTTGAGTTGTATAATATTTGAATTCCAAATAACCTGTAATCGTTCGAATCAAACATATTCGCTGCTGTCCCATGACAATTTCGAAATTGTTTACTTTTCTCAAAGATGGATTTTTGCCAAAATTTCTCTGGCATTGGTGGTAGACTAAGCGAGCGATAAAAATCATCAGCCTTCTTCACCATATCGATAATAGTCCAATTTAAATTCTTCATTGATTGATCCAACTGGAACTCATTAAATGGCAAAATAAGATTTTGATAAGTTTGCCAGTTTTGCGACCATAAACTACCTATTTTTTTTAAAGTAAAATATTGAGTTAAAATAAATGTAGATTTGTGGTTGCTTAACATCTCAGTTTTACCTAGCATATGAGCTGGAATCGTTGATTCTTTATTGAATGGCTCAAACTTATGGATTCGATTCCACAAAACATTTCTTAAAACGCCGTGTAACAATTGATAAATGGGTTTAATTTGTTGCATCAAGCAATCAATTACTGAAGATAAATTTGGCAAATCCACCTCTTGGCGCCACACTTCACCAATGTCATTGTATCCTTTGATTTAAAGAAAAATATATTCTCATCAATTGTTGTACCAAATTAACATCTCAATTTCATATGTCACCATTTGCTTTTGCACCAATATTCATAAGATCAATGGTTTTTCCGTAGATTGTTCCAATTTTATTACCAACAGCTGTGCGCCAACTTTCCCATGCCCAACGAAATATTTCATTAAATCGTAATGCACAATCACTACGATTGAAAGCGATGAAATCACCGCTCATTATACGATCAAATTCTTCTTCGCCACCCAAACAAATCATATTATTTACGCGTAATTCTCTCTCAACCTTTCGATCCTGTTGTTGTGTTATCTTCGACACGCCATTCACATAATAATTTTTTTGAATGCTGCCATCGTATAGATTTAACTTTGTCACATGACTTCTGAAGAAGAAAGATAAAAGAAAATGGTTCACAATGAATGTTCGAAACTAATTTGCAAATAGAAGAATAGAAGAACTAACACTTTCGGTTTCACTGCATCCAAGCACAATGGTTCAATGTGATCTCCATTTCGTAATACATATGTGAATTCCCATATACGATCCAAATTGAGACACACATCGAATTGTTGGGGCAAACAAATTTCGGTTGTTGTAAAAATTGTTTGCATCTGCTGTAAATAAAACGTTAGTTGATCGGTTTGTTTTTCATTGAATTTCGGACCAGCACAAAGTAATCGGGCACTTGTATTTAATATCGTTAAATTCGAAATGGTCGATGTAAGTGGATATTGGTTGGCCAATGTTATAAGCTCCTGAATTTCTAAACATTTTGAATCTCTCCATTTCGATTTATTTGCATTGAATTGTCGCAGTTCTGCAGCCGTTTTATGCGTAGGATTCACACTATTTTAGAATGTAAAAACAAAGAAAATATTTTATTTCTACGGTCACTTCAAATCAAAATGTAAATCACCTTAAATCCCATGCAAAATTGGCTGATTTTTGATAAATTGAATTCAAGTCCGAGTTTAGGCGATAGAACCAGTCGTTAAAATTGTTTTGCAGTCTCGAGCATGTTGTCAGTTGCCATGATGTTGTTAAAGTCAGAAATATGATTAAAAATATTGATATTCCCATGTTAATTCACATGTATATTTGCCACATAACGAACGTTCTAACCGACACTACAATTAAACCAACTTTATTTCCATGCGCTGACTAAACCGAGTCTATCAAATGTACATCCTTTTATGTTCTCGCCTCAAATGATTTGCGTTCAACCGTCGTCATCGTCGTCGTTATTTATAATGACAACACTGTTTTCCATCTATCAAATGTAAGTGAAAAATTCGCCACTGGCTTTTCTTTCCATTTTGCGCGCATGTGATTATATGCATGGTATGTTTGTACCTCCCCCTACTACATAGATTTAGATTTATGAACTGGATTTGGAAAAACAATTGCAAAGCTACATGAAACATGTCACAGCTTAATATGAAAACAAATTGTTTTTATCGTAGTACGCTTCAGGTGGGATTTATAATGTGTTGGCAACATAATCTTAGCTGAAAAATAATATATAAACAGAAATTGCCATGAGCGAGAGCAGGAGAAGTGATTTCTTAAACTTACACTTCATCGAGTGTAAGGAAAAAGTATTCCTACTTCAATTTGATTTGAACGTTGATTTGTAGTAGATAAGCCCCTATTTAAAATTAATCCCATGAATAATCATGTTTGTTTCTACAATGCCAATTTTGTATTTATGCAAATATGTGTCGCCAAAAATGTTGTCGTTGGCAATCAAAACAGTATGTCTCGATAATGTAATTAGGATGTGGCAGGCGCATTATAAAATCTTGAACAACATTTAAACAATACTTTTCAAAATTAAACGAAAAATCTAATTTCCAAATTGGTAAAAGCAAATCGAAGGAATCAGAAGACCCTAGCAATTTGAAAGAATTTTTCCAAAAGTGATGAGCTAAAAAGAGGCCTTAACTTTTTAATCAACGAAAAAATTCACACGGAAAAAGTTTAAGGGCGGATGGTCAATCAGCGCAATTCTTCAGCGATATTTTCGCGAAAAACCCGAGCAATTTCAAAGATTTTCTTCCATTTCTAAAGTTGTTGATTGCAAAAAAAAGGTCTTCACTTTCGCGTGATTTTTCCCTTGCGCTCAGGTACAACCTCCTGACGATTCAGGGAGGTGTCTAATCACCCAGGCTTACACCCTTCCTGTGCCCATTTATGCTTCAGAGGAAGGTAGTCTGGACTCTTGAACCGAACCTATGTTTGGGGATCAAATAAATTTCAAAACAAATAAACCATCTTTGTTGGAAACTATTACCAACTTTTGAGGCAAGAATTCAAGTAAATGAGTCATTTGTGTCACCAACAATTTCTTAAAGGAAACACATGACAATTCATTTCATTTCTTTTAATTCAATATTCAGTTCAAAACTACGTTCGAAACCTGTTTTAAAGTTCTTAAATACATATTTTGTTCATAATTTTTTTTACATTTTTTTAAATCTTTTTTTTTTATAAAATTGCTGCTGCCATTATCAACTAAGTTATTTCTCGTTTTCATTACTATTTGATGATTATGGCATTTGAAATATATAACCTCCGTAATATAATTAACATTGACTAGAGATTTAAACCGTGCTTCAAAGAAGAACTTAAATCAGTCATACATTTCAAATGGGACACATTATTCAAGGAAATATTTTACTTTAAGAATAAATAAATAAATAAATAAAAAATAATTCGAATAACCCATCAAACGTGCTATTTAAAAATCTACGCTATATTCAATTGTCCAGCATTTTCGAAACATATCATCGCGCAACTTTAAAACAATTTATCGACAGACATAAATAAAACAAAAAAATTATCAATAAAATCAAACAAAGACACACGCGCACTGGTACGTAGCTTACTTTGATACTTGGTTATATTACCGTTCCTGTTTTATTTGTAGACAAAATGTCCAAAAGCTCGATGAAATATAAGCGACAGTAAAACTATCATTTTATTTAACATTGATCAAATAAATTTACTACGCACCTGTCCGTGTTCACAACAATCTGCATCTACCAAAGCAAATCAGTTTGTTCGAATTCAAAAGAATAATTAAAAAAAAAACTACAATAAAACGGAAAACAAATGATTGCATTAGAAGCAAATGGATGTTCATTTGTATATATAATCACGTGAGTTAAATTGGGCAACATTAAAAAAATTCTATTTTCAAATGGTGTGTTGTTGTTTTTTGTTTGTAATCATTTGAGTAAAATGGATTACTCTAATATATATATACTCTAGATATATAAATTCATACGTGGTTTGATGAATAATATTCAGTCAAAATTGCTACAATTCACAGTGCTCAAGATCGATATTTCGATTCACGAAAAAATGAATGAATGAGACTCAATTCTACCCGTTGTGAACTACGAGAAGAAATCATATTATATGGTGAGCGCATGTCAATGTTGATGTTGCATTTATTTGGTCACACCGTGAATATTTTCGATTTCTCGTTCATCATCACTGCTTTCATCGTCTTCTTCCTCTTCTTCCTCCTCAATCTCATCGTCGTCCTCTTCCTCTTCATATTCAATATCTTCAATTTCATGATCGCTAGCGCCATTTGATGCATTTCCACCATTTTCATTGTTTACGGGATCAAGGTTTATAAGTGATAAAGTCATTTTGCTGCTCAAGATAACCTACAAAAAAGATTTTTGTTTTTGTTTTTTCTAGAAATTCAATAAAAAGGGAACTTTTTAAATCGAACTTACTGCTGGTTCATCTGAATTTCCATTGACATCTTCATTGTAAACCCCTTCGGGAGTTGTTTTCGAATCGGAGACAAGAATTTGTGATTCGTGTGGCAGAGCACCCTCTAAGTAGATAGATTGTGGTTCAGGCTCTGGTTCAGATTCACTGGAACTCTACAAAAAAAGGAGCTTGTCATTTTTATGATCACTTCAATATCAGTAGTTTTTCGTGTGATGAACATTAGTTGCGATTAATGTTTTTGCGAATCAATATATTTTTTTTTTTTTCTAATTTCATTAACATTTTTTTTAACATGCGAAAAGTGAATCTGAAATTCGTTCCACGAGGTATGGTTAGAGAACGAGATGGTAAAAATGAATGCATCCACAGTACAAGCGTTCAGCAAAATTAATTTTACTGTACACTTACATGATGGCTGTGGGATGAAATTAAATTTGGTGTTGGTGGCCGAGTCCATTTTTTACCATTCTCACAACTAGCGGTCATTTCTAAACCTAGTACCTGATTTATTTATTTATTTTCGCGCACCAAAATTTTCGCGCATCAACACAAAACAATGGTAAAAACAATCACAAAAGTTCGATTGTTATTGGATTTGATTTGCTTTTGTCGAAATAAAAATAGAGATATGTGTGATCGACAAATGGTTTACCTTGAGTTTTCTTTCGGCACTTGAATCGCGGCACCGTTTTGCTGTGGTTTCAGTTGAGTTATTACCATTTGTATTATTTTCCGAATTAGTCAATTGGCCATTTGATTTTTCCGAATCAACATGTTTGTCTTTGGTTTCATCCGTTGCGTCCTAAATAGAATTCATTTTTTAGTAAACGATTTAACTAAATATAGCCATATGTGCATGTGATCTTGCTACAATTTTGTAATCGCATCGCCATAGTAAAAATGCCAAACCATTACCTTGTTTGAATCCTCTGAATTTTCTCGTTTATTTAATTGTTCGTCAGCTGCATCGATTAACCCTTGTATGGCTGTTACAACTGTTCGTACAGTTTTAAATGAATTTATTTAAAAAGAAAAGAAAGTTCGTAAGTTCGTCCGAATCTTAAAATGCGCATGATACTTATAATTCAAACAATAACAAACGAAAACAAAATAAAATGATTGTAAAATTTATGGATGGGATAAAAAAAGAAAACAACCATTTTTGACGGAAAAAAATCGGCAAAAAAATATTGTATTAGTAGTCCTTTTACTGTCGTTTGAATAAAAAAAATAAACCAGAAAAATGTGAACAGTCTCAACATATCTTTGGGTTAATTTCACAAAATGATTTTGGTTAGCAGCGACGAACGCATAGTAAATTCATGAGAAAAAGAGTGATTAGTAAGGTTAAGCGATTAGAGCTATGACGAATACATGTGCTTTTTATTTTTTTTAAATTGGATTATTTTAGTTGCTATAGCATTGCATTAAATTTCCACCAGAGAAACAAGAGATCGAAATCAAGTGTTGTTTCGTGCGACTTTTGAGTGATTGAATTGATATATATATATATCTATATACATAGTATTTGGTATTGCATTGTGTGCTACTTTTTAATAAGTAATTTTTTGATGATCGCACCTGTGTCGTTGTCACATCCATTGTTGCATCATTTTTACTAGTTGTTATGTTTTCGTCGCTATCGCATTTGGCTGCTTTTCCATGAATATCGGCTATAATTTGTTCCATGGCACGTTCAGTCTCACGTAATTTCCGTTTTAACAAACTAATTTCCAGTAATTGTTCGGTTTCGCGTAATTGATATTCAAGTTTAGCCGTTGTTGATGCTTCATCGTAGTAAGTTCGACTCGGTTCCGATTGTTGATTATTTCCACTCAAATGACTCAATAAATTGTTAAGAACACCATTTTCATGCGAGCCTAAAAACGAACAATTTGTTCGAGTGTTTTGGGTTCCATTGATATTTTTATTTTTTTAAATTTTCTTTTTTTTTAATGATTTGCTTAAAAAATTAATATATTTTTACAACATCAATAAAAGAAGAGAAATGACAGTTACAATGTTTTGGGTGAAACATAAAAGCGCAGCACAATGGAAAATATTGAAGAAGTTATTGCAGTCAAAGATGAAATTTTGTTCGGTTTTTTTATGAGTTTGATTTGATTTAAAATGTGCCAATAAAACTCCTAAACTCATGCGAAATTTAATGAAATTTTGATTATATTTTTTTATTAATGCCTCATTTGCCTACTTAGAGGCTTCTCTTTTCTATGATGGTGAAAAAAAATATAAAGAAAACAAATGTAGAATTTTTCTATCATTGAATTTGAGGGAGGGAAAATTCAATGAAATGCACATATTTTTTGTATGTGACAGCAAAAGGACACTCTTCACTGAACCGTTAAAAATGATGAAAAGTAACATGATGACATTGAAAACAAACGTAAAACTAAAACGGGAATATTCTATTCTATTTTGATCTGATTTAAAAATAATTATAATTTCAAACTTACTTGTATCGTGTTGTTTCCAATCTGAATGGTTTAAATTGTGCGAGAAAATATATACATGCATTTATTGGTTATGTTGAATAATGTAATCTGAGTGATATATTTATTGAAGGACATACCTAAATTTGGTATTTTGTTATTATCGCGACGGAAAACTTCGTTTCTGAACGTTTCATCATTCTTTGGTGCTGGATATGGATTCAAATTTTCCGATTTTCTCATCACTAACTGTAATTTTTAAATCAATACGATTTGATAAAATGGACATTTAAATGACAGTATTTGTGCATTAATACCTTCATTATGGTGTAAACGGCAAATGCAACAATTCCAAAGGTGTACATTGGCATCAATAGACCCATGCTGTTTCCTTTTTGATTTGCTTGATGCACTGATCCTGCGCCCATTGGAGGTCGTAATCCTGGTAAAAAAAGATCATCATTTTGTTAATAAAATATCAAAAATTAAAAATAAAATACATTTGAGTTAACAATACCTGGCACTGGCCCTGGCTATAATTCCGAAGGTACACCACGAATTTACATGCAATAAAAAAAATAAATGATGATTTTTTTTATATTGATATCTTCTATTTTTTCCATTTTTTTAGTATGGTTACATTAATATAGTTTACTGATTGAAAAAAACCAAAGTTAAACTTCTGTCTGTATCAAAATACATCCTTTATATACCAATGTCAATGTTTCACATATTTTTCCTTTTGTGATTTTGCATTGAGGAATAACATTGAAATACAAAAAGTTGCATTAGTGTGGAAAGTAGAAATTTATCGAAATTAAAATTGAGAACAGATGAAATCTCATGAAGATGAAAAGAAATGACATTCATTTTTTTTTTCAATTGTCAATAATAAAATTAATTTAAAAAAAACCCATATTGTTGTCTAGATGATTATCATGAAATGGGAATTACAGAAGTAAAAATTTGGTTCTACGTTCAATTTGATTTGCTCCGATTTACATTGGCACAATGTCAAGTTTGGCTAAAATCTAAAAATAGCACGAAAACGGGCACTATAAAAATGGAAAGAGTCCATATGCTCTCGCACACTTACATAGTAGGAAATTTGCACATAATCTCATCACATCAAGACCCACACACTTTCAAAATTGAGAATTATAGTTCACGTCATTTTTTATTCAGAAATATAATTTATTGTCAAATTGAATGTTGAATTTTCATGATGCAAATGAATCGTGTTTTCGTTTGATAATTTGTAGAAAATACGCAATGCTTATTAACAATATCACATTTGAAAAGTGGGTCATGATCTAAGTATTTTTTTGTTTGTGTTTGGCAAAAAAAGATATTAGACATTTTGAACTTACGCGACCATCGATGTATTGAATGTTATCAGTTGCACGAAGTGGCCGTCCATTTACAATAGGAACTGTTTGCGTGTTTGGTATGGCACGACCACGTTCTATCATTGCTGGATGAATGTGATCACCTCTCAGATGGGGCGGCCGCTCCTGACGTAAGCCTTTTACCACAAAAATGATGCAAGCATTGGAAAATAGAAAACGAAATCAAAATTAATCGCATTAAATAAAAGTAATTTTTATACGAAGCGATAAATGGAGCCTAAAATGTGAATTGTTTGTGTTAGACTTGAATTTATGGTTCTATTTGAAAACTTGAATTTATTGACACAATGCCCACGCTTTATTGCATAAAAATATGAACGAATGAATCAAAAGTGCATCATCACAGCGATTAGTAATTTTTCATAACAATTTCCATTGAACGTTGCTCTATTTAGTCCAATGAGATTGTTTAACGTGTGTAAACACTGTTAGGCGATATCAATCACACAAATCAACGTACTTATTTCGTCTGTCATCAAATTTAATTTCCAATTTTTTTGTCGATATCCAGATTGACCAGCTGGTTGAGTGACATTTGCATACTTTTCATGATCTAGCACAACTCCACAACATCCTTTAATGTCATCATTATAATATTTTTGAAATCAGAAACAAATCAAAAATTTAAATTAAAAAAAAAGAAATTAAACAAAATCACTTACCGGCTTTTATATCTTTGTAATTGTTTTTGATGGGCACATTCGAATTGCCAAACATCATTGGATAGAACATTTGTGTCCATAATACTGCAATGCAACAAACAACAGTTGCTAGTATTATTACCGTTTTTCGTGGTCCAAGTACATCGTTCTGTTGTGGGTTATGAGGTTGATAATATTGTGAGTTCGGTTGGTGTGAAACAGTTGCCATTTTCCAAATCAATTTAATTCTCCTCACAATCGATGAACAATGTGATCTCTTTATACAACGTTTTTGCGATTTAAATATTGTTTAAATCTTTGGTTGGCGTGCGATTCCTCTTTGCATTTACTGTCGATTTGCCAATTTGTGCGTTTGTTTATTCGATATCATTGGATAGACTTTGATGCTTCAGCAATTGAAATGAAATAAAAGAGAAAAAGTGATCATTGTTTTTTTCATCTTTCTTTATATATATTGCATCCTTAAAAATAAACATGTTTGAACTTGAGCCGTCACTATATTTTAAAGTTTATTGTTTATGTGTTTGAAATGTAACGAAATTTTTTTTTATAATGCGTACATAATCTCTAAGAATAGTCACTTCCTAATAATATGATTTGATATATATTGATTTGACTGGCTGACAGTCGGCTTTGGTGTCAGGCCACCGGTGTGTGGTATTTAAAAAATCATCGATGAACAAAACTACTCAAGTTTTCACACACTTTGCACATGCTAACCATAAAAAAACAACGGAAAATTGTCTGTCAAAACTCACTCAACTGAGCGAAAAATTCAGCCAACCGTTGTTGGCTTGAAAACTGTACAAATCAAGAGGAAAAGAGAAAAATGAAAAAAAAAAGCCAGGAGAGACCGTCGACAAAAAATTTATAAATAAATGCAGCCGAAAAAAATTGTTGTGAGCATTGGGCATATTTATCATTTTTTTCCTTTTATTATTGCCGGTGCACACAATAAATCCGTGCAAAACTGTTGTTTCAAAACATGTTTTTGAATCGAACCTTTCAACTAGAATTGAATCTCGAATAGAAGTTGCCAGGAAAATGATGTTATTTTCATTTTTCACCGTTTATCTTAATGCATAAAAAAGAAGAAGATTGGCTTTGTTGCTGTTTGCAAAGCCCCATGTTTTGTGTTTGTGTGTGTGCATTGGGCGTAGTGGTTCAATGCATGCATCATGTGACTCTAGGTTATTAATTACATTGTTTAGTGAGCACAGCAAAATGTTTCCCAATAATAACTTCAAGTGCGTGTTAAGTAGCGTCTAGGAAGTGTATATGTGTCTCAGTTGCTTATTATCTGTATATTTAGATCAGCTCTCACAATAGTACGGTACGACTGTCGCTGGCGAAAAATTCACAATTTTGCGTTGATCTCTCGAAATCGAATACGATTTGAGAAATTCTATTGAAAATATATTCTTATTTTTCATACAGATATAATTCACAGATTTTTTTTCTTCTCCTTTTAATTATTGCCACCATCCATTTATATCAATTCAAAATAATACACAGATCGTTTATTGCGTGAATTTAATGTCGGCATGGCTAACAAACGATGATTATTATATAAAATTTAACAATAACAAAATATACGAGTTGCTTCAGCCAAATTTATTTTTAGTCAAGAAATTCTTTTCTATTCATTTTTTGCTGATATTTTTGTATCATTTCATTTCGGTTACACACAAACGATTCACAGAGAAAAAGAGCACGACATTCAACACTCGACGAATTTACATTTCTTTTTAATAATTTCGAAAAGTTTGCAATTAATTTTTCAATTGAAAAAAATCCATCGCATTCAAACCGTCTAACAATGATGTTAATAATCAATTCACTGATCCAATGCTATTTGGCTCTTTACAAATGAAATTTTTTTCTGGTTTTTCGGAAAATCCACTTACACACTGAATAACAAAACAAATTTCAACTGAAGAAACACTACAATAAAACAAAAATTATATTTCAACTGAATTGAGGATTTCTTTCCTAATCATCCACGATCCTATGTGGACTTGAATTGAGACTTAAAAACTTTACGACTTTCGTTTTAGAAAAAATTGTTTTTTATTTCGTTGATGTTTTTATTAAATCGTTTCACTCTTATGGTAGACCGATTCTGATTGCTTTCGATATGAAAAATGCAAACAAAGTAAAGTAGAACAAATAACAAAAAAAAGTGTTAAAAATAAATAAAAAAAAAACGAAAAAAGAAAATATGAATAATTTTTTGGTCGGAAGAATTCGTTGTAAACGTTTGCTTGAGCTGGTCAAGTTAACGAATGAAATAGTGATCTGTGATCTTATAACGCAAAAGCCGTCGCTGCTGAATTCCCGCTTCAATTTTCTCTCATATTCTTATATTCAGAACTTTGTTTGTCTTCTATACGTTTCGATTTATTGTATATATTTATCGTGAACATTGTGCGCTTGTTTTAATAGCCAAATCGTCTTTTGGTCTGCTCTTGATTTTAATGTTTAGTTTGGGTGTAAAGTTTGCACTGTGTGCGATAAAAAAATAGAAGAAAATTATCTGTGGCAATGTTAATAGTGAAATTAAATTTTTTTTCATTAGAACACATATGACCACGACGATCGATAAATTTTTATTTAATAATAAAAAAGCATTGAACCAACTACAATGAATTTGTGCGAAATCAGAATTTTATTCCATTCGAAAGAGATAAAAACATGAATTGAAAATAATTCCTTTCATACCGGTATGTAACATATTTTCCTTAGTTGAGCGAGATTGAAGGAGAGAAGAGGTTTACAACTGTAACGTTTACTGTACTAATACGATCATATGTGTTGATTCAATGGAATGAATGTTTTATGTCTTCGATCGAAAATGCTGTAAAATTACAACAAAAAATTCATACCGTACAAAATATATGGAATTTTTCACTTCGGATAGTTTGTCGAAATCGAATACACGACGAACTAACATTTCTTCACATTAAAAAGAAATTTATTAGTAAACTTAATTGGCTGATCAATAATTTAACACTAGCAGTAACAGGCGAACATGAATCCCAACGCAGAGCGCTGTGCGTTGATCATCAACATTTCAAAGCGAAACACAATTGATCATTCGGTCGTTGAGCACCGCACACATAATACGCTTGCCTGTGTTACTTGTGTGTAAAGTCTCTATACAAAGAGACTGCATGCACTTATCAAATGTATTGTGGGCGGAGTTTAAATTATTTCAATTTGAAAAATTCAACCATTTTTTTACTGCTACGCTTATGCTGTGCTGTTAACATGTCGATCAGAAATGCGCAAAGAACTCAATATACCACTTGTTTCACATGAAATGCAATGTAGTATCATTTCGACCCACATCTTTTCGTCTGTTTTGTTCTTTTTATAATATTTCCTCTCCAAGTTGTCTCTTGTTTCATATTAAACACCATAAATCGGTTAAAGTGCGAATGAATCCAATATATCTGTTCATCTGTATGCGACTGTTTGTGTTGTACGTACAGTTGTAGCATCAATCGTAAATACTCTTGGCTACGTTGAGCCAAGAGCGAATAATATGGCAATTGGTTTAATTTTAAAATGAAAACACTCAGCGTTCATGATATTATGTGCGCTTGTTACTTTATCACAAATTATTTGTGGCTGGAGTGGTGTCTTTGAATTAGATTTAACTTTAAGTTTTCGCTTTGTTTATAGAGACGCAAACTGTCTCACCAATCATTATTTGTAATGATGGTTTAAAGTTTGTCAATTTATTTAATTCAAGCGTTGAAAATTTTGCTTCTGATGGTTCTACGAAATGAATATTTCTATTCATTTAACTCTAACGGCGTGTGTATTCACTTAAAATTGTGCAAATAACTATTATTCTTTGTATAAATTTAATCATTTAAACCGAAATCAAATTCATCTTATATGCCCTATTTTATCAAGTACCTTTAAAGAGGCAATAATGACTCGCCTATATCCAGTTGATTTAAATACACGACACGTTCTCAGTATTTGAAATAATTCATGATTTTATGCTTATCAAATGTCTTTTCTATTTCCATAAGCTTTCGGTTATTTTTTTTTTTTATTAATGAATCAGGATAAATCGAACCTTTGTTTACAAAAATAAAATCAATTTCAAGTATATTAGTAAAAAAACGGTGGCAGTAAGTATTAGTTAAATGGATACGATGTTTTTGCACACGTTTATGCAATGACAGGCAAATAAAAATATTGAGAAGAACAAAGAGAGCCAAAGATGAAAAATCGATACAGTAATGTGCAATTTTCCATGCATGCGGATGTTGGCAACATACAGAGATGAGTTTCGGAAAAGTTCGTCCAATGACATCCAACTTCGATTGAATTGAAGATTTAAAAATTATTTAATTGATTTATGTAGAAAAAAGATGAATGTTTTCCAAATGAAAAGCCGTTACGAATTTGTAGAAAGATCTTTAGAAAACTGTATTCGAATATAGTAATATTTCAAAAGGGGGTTTTAATGTCATTCATAAACTGTATTCCAAAGTATACGATTCAACTGTTACAACTTGGACGATGAACATTTGGTTGTTGAACGTTTCCATTCATTGACACCGAAACAAACAGATGTGTGTGCGAGCATTGCCCCTCTTTTTTTCTCTGACACAACTGCCCGCCATGGGAGAAAAATTCACAACAACGTTCCCCTTATTTTCGATCAAAATTGTCTTACATCTGAATTGTCTTGCTTTCTCTTTTCATTCGGCGTTTCATTTGAATTGAGTGTATTGGTGTCGAATGCCAACACAACACCATTACATGCGCATACATTTTCGTTCGTGTGTCAAACTTAGTTTACATACGGCATACAGCAGTGAGTCGAAAACACAGACTGCACGTTTTGAATTTTGCTAGAAGTTTATCAGCACACTGCACACACAATCGGTTAGTTGGGTTGTATTTTTTTGGACATAAACAGGCGTAAAGTATTGAGAAAAAAACACAATAACCGGCTATAAAAGAGATTAAGAACAAAGCAAATTTGAATGGACGTAATTTTGGTACCCATATAATTGGTCGCCATTTGAAATCGGCTGTATTGCTGTGGTATTAAGATATATCAGACAAAAAAAAATTTCGTTCAAGTAAGTGTATATATGCTTTAAAAAATTGTAATTTCGTCAATTCGTTCGAAAGGTGCACGTAAAGTTTCTTTTTCTTCTAAGTAAGGTGATATCTTTGTAATTGTACTTGCTAATTGTGAAATCAAATGAACTTTCTAAACAAATGATTGCAGCACCAAAACCGGTATCACATTGCGACGAAAGATATAAATCAACATTTACATAAAATTTCTATTTTCTTTCACATTTTAATTTTTATACTTTTAGTCTTTGATTTATTTTTTATTTTTTTAATAATCAAATGTTAATGATATTTCAAGTCATTTTATTTTTTTTTAGTAAAAAAAAGTTTTTTTTTTTCGTTATGCAGGTAAACTAAAAATAGCACCACAATGACTGCATTTCTCAATCATTCTTCTGATTACAAGAAAGACTTGACCGCATCGGTATCATCGATGTCTGGGCCACGGAAGGCGATAGATTACAAGCGAAAAAATAGTGCTGGCCTGGCACCTCGCTTCATATTCGAGTGTGCGATTAAATTAAACATGAAGCCATTAACATCTGCAACCGCTGCAATTATATTTCATCGCTTCTTCCGCGAAGTTGAAACCGAAACTTACGACGAATATGTAAGTTTGCCGCTAATATGATGCTATAATTTAATTTGTTATGGTTAAAGTTTATATTTTTATTGAAGTTTAATATCTTGATTGATTTTTAAAACGACAAATAAAAATCATTGGAATAGTTAATAGCATCAGCTGCTCTATACTTGGCTGGAAAATTGAAAGATGATATGATAAAAATTCGCGATGTCATTAATGTTACACACAATACACTCAATCGAGGTAACTTTCTTTTAATTTAAGTCATTGCTCTTTTTTTAAAAGATTTTTTTTTAAAAGGCGCACTACCTCTCGAATTAAATGACGAATATTGGGCTATACGTGATGCCATTGTTCAAGCAGAACTACTAATAACGCGAATGCTAAAATTTGATTTGAATATCGTGCATCCACATAAATATATGTTGCATTACATCAAATCATTACAAGACTGGTTTAGTTCCAGTGTGTGGAATGCATTGCCCATCGCAAAAACGGCTGCCGCTTGTTTACAAGATTTCCACCACAGTCCAGCCATTCTGGACTACAAGCCATCACATTTGGCCGTTTGCTGTTTATCGGTCGCTTTCGAAACATATGGCGTACAAGTCCCACTCACCGACGATATTGATGAATCGACCATTTGGTACAATATTTTTTGTAAAGACTTGACTAATGAAAAACACTGGGAGATCATGTCAAAAATTATTGATGTATATAACAACGAAACCGACCTCGACGAATCAATTTAAAAGAAAAAAGAAAGAAAATATTGTGAATAGAATATGCAATTTTAGATATATCACACAGATAGGAAAATTATTTTGGATTTTGTCCATCAATTCATCTTTCATATATTATTTTTTTTTAATCGAAAAAATACCATTTATTCATTTGAATACAAATACTTCCAGGGAAATCCATTTTTGGTTTACTTCATCATATATTAATTTGTCATACAATTTAATTTGCATGGCTTTTAACTCTTTTTGTTCGACAAATGGTTTGCACTAAAATAAATTGAATGTGATATGAAAATGAGAAATTGTCGAATTATTCACGACAATATATGAAATAGAAGAGAAAAGATAAATAAACAAACACGATCACTGAACTGGTGAGAATATTAAAATTATTATTTTGAATAAGAAAAGCACCATATCCGTGTTATTTTTCAACAATTTACCAGCTGAATCGGTTTTTTTAAAATGTAAAATAAAGCAAAAAGAAAGAAATAAAAATTCCAATTAATTTTGTGTTTTTTTTTAAATTGAGTTTTGTAAAATAAATTATTTTCAAAAATAACATTGAAAAAAACGAAACGACCTTTTTCTACATCATTTATGCTGGCAATTCTACAAAACCTTTATTCTCTCCAAATACTTGTCGCATTAAAATGTTTCAATTGTCGCCGTCATACAACAGCGCCAATTGACAAAACACTCGATCCATCTGGTTCTATTTAGCAAAACACGGAATATTACGTAAAAATTTCAGTGGTAAGTTGAAAAAAATTGCAATAAACCATTTTAGAAATGTTATTCGGCCTGTAGATTAAGTAAATATAAATACTGCGTGGTTATTTTGCTTGATCCAGACGTCAATACGTTGAATTTTTTGACGATTTATCCAAATATCAAATCCAATATTTACAAGTTATATGTGTTAGTTGTTCACGTTTGATTTCTTTGCTTCTTTAGGATTTTAGTTCTTCTTCAGCATGGTAAAGTCATTAATCGACTATGGAACGCCTGAAGAAGAGGCATGGCGTTGGAAATTCATCCCTGCATACATCAAAATACAAAGAAAATATGATCATTATTTGTATAGCGTGAAATATTATGATAAACCCGAGGGTGAAGATTTGCTTGGTAAATTGATTGCAATAAATCGTACGTGCATTCCTTGGGGCTTTACAGTTGGTGTTACTGATGCGTTGATGCACGGTGGACGTTTTCTACCCACTTACCAACAACAATTTGGTAGATTCGTTCATTTTATGTGGCCAACCATTGCAGTTCCGACCGCTTTCGCAACAACCACTTACTTCTGTGCTAAAATTCGCCAAAAGGACGATTTGTATGTTTTTTTTTTTTTAATGATTTCATATATCAGTTTATTAAGAATGCTCATGAACTTGTTTTTTGTAGATGGAACTATAGTGCGGGTGCAATTGCTGCAGGTAGCGTAGTTGGTGGATGGCAAAGATGTCACATAACTGGCTGGACTGCTTCACTTTTCTTCTGTAAGTTTATCATTTGTTTTTGTGAATGGAAAAAATAGAATTCAATTTGATGAATCATGACCAAACTACGTACAATTTATTTTATGATAAAAGACATAGTTGCAAGACATTAAATGAAGGCGAACAGAAATCAAAGGCTATTGATTTAATTTTCGATTAATCATAATTTAGAAAATTCTTTAAAATGTTCGCCCTTCGCCTAAACTGTAAATGTACACAACATATTTAACGTTTAAACAATGGAATGAGTCTTGATGTGGTCAAACATTTCTATCAATCATATGCAAATCAACTAAATTTTTTAATGAATTATTTATTCCAGTAATTTGCGCATGTGCTCAGAGAGTACGAATAGAGGAAGGTTGGAAATGGTGGAATCTTAAAGAACAACAGTTAAATGGGGATCATCGCTGGCATAAATTCGGCTGGAATTTATATACGGATCCACTACCTAAAAACTACACAACTAGCGAAAACTAATCAAATTATCTAGCATCTTCAAATTTATTATTACCAAATGAGCTGGATTTTGCTTAGTCCGTGTAATTTTCTTGTAGCCGAATCCGAGTTACTGAATAAACTTGTACTGTTATGAAAAAGAAAATCGAAGATAAAATCTAATAAAAAATTGAACACCATTCATTTCTTACTTTAACATTTTCAGAATAGAAAAAAAAGACATGGAAACAAATTATATCAAATTGATAGTGTCAATCGCATGATAAAAATAGACCAAAATCAATAATAACCTTTCAGAAAGTGAGTGCAGTTTTCATACATGAACGAAACGAAATACTCTCGAAAAAATATGAGTTATCAGCGGAATGAACTGGTGTAATATTCCAGTAGAAACGTAACCGTCGAATTTGGGCTAGCTTTTTTGTATAGTTTCAGCATTTTTGAATGTCACATTGGAAGTAAATAAGAGTTTGACATTTTTTTTCAATTAATACGGATAAGTATCCAAAGCCTATAGGCTATAGCGAACTAAATAGAACGGGTAAGAATATTTATGATCTGCAATAATCATCTAGAAAAAACAACAATTTACAATATATTATTGCTGCGCAAAAGAAATCGTCAAAATGAAACTCAAAGCGATGTCCAAAATGTTTCCCATAAGCACAAAATTTGTACGAAATATTACGTATTTTATTGAAACGATCAGATGATATTTATAAATCCAATGATATTTTACATAAAAGATACACAAAATGAAACAAAAAAAAGAACAACAAACTGGTCAAATATAACTAGTTTTAAGCTTGAGGATGCACAAAAATATTCAAATGCATTATTAATACTACTAGTCTTATCTACTGAATGAAATTAAGAAGTTTATTCTATTTTCCTTATACTATCCTATATTTTATACATGCGATCGCTAATAAATTCATAATTTTAAACTTATCTCGCACGTATTGTATTATGTTCATTCAAACTAATAGTTTATTATGAAATCGAATAAAAACAAGACTTGACGACAGTTTACATAAAAGCTGTTTGTATGTGAAAACGTAATTTATGCGAAATGAAACAAGTATCTGTGCAAAAGCCTGGTATAAATATCCATTCCTAAGCATTTTTAGCCAACAGTCGATTTTTATCAAGCTTGTGTGGTGTACGCATGCAGTGTGTTGTTACGAAATAGAGAGATATTTCTAGAAACTATAATTTAAAAAAGAGCTGAAGATATGAAGACAGCAGTCACTTTATTGGCGTTTAGTATAATTGGATTCAATTATGGTACATGTGTTTTTGTGTGATTTTCAGTATTTAATTTTTAATATTTTCAATTATTATTTTAGTTAACGCTTGTGATAAAACTTCGTGCACCCCCACACCAGCACATGTATGTAAAATATGCTTTATATTTAATCATTATTATAAAATAAAACCAAATGGTTCAAAAACTTGTTCTTATTAGTATGATGAACTTGGCTGTGAACCAGTATTAGACGATGATGAGATGTGCTGTCCAAAGAGGTAGACGTTATATTTTAAATGACAATTATAAAATTATCAAATCAACATTATCTATACGATATTTGATTTAAAATGAAATCTTCAGATACGAATGCCCCGAGCGTTCTGAAAATGGTGGATGTAATTATCGAGGAAAATTGTACAAAGTAGGTGAATCGATCAGTGAACAATTTTTACCTAAGCGATGTGATGCCGAATGTACATGTGAACACTGGAACGATGATAAGTAAGTGAATAGAGACAGAGAAGCGGTGGGAATGCCCAAACCAAAATATATTTTTAGAACATCAGTTGAATAAAAAATAACGTTTTAATTATAGTACATACAAGTTCGTTTGTCGTGGCATTCCAAAAAGTGATATCAATGATTACGAAATTGAAAATAAACTTGTACGAGTGCTGGACAAATATATAACCGAAGAAACACATGACCCAATCGAGCGATGTGCAGGTTTTCCAGTTACCGGTAATTTTTTTTCCTTTTTTTTGTAACTTTCAATTCAAAATAAATTATTTTTGAAACATAGATGCAGACGAATTGGCAACATTGAAAAAAACCAAGTGTACATTTGAAGGTGTTGTTTATAAAAAGGGAGACAAAATTCAACCAGATGGAACGTGCTATGAGTGTATTTGCGATGAACGCATTAAATCTCATGATTTGGATATATATTCACCTCAATGCCAACGAAAACAATGCGGCCTAGGCGTAAGCGGCGAAGAACACGACTACTTGAATCGTGGATGTGCTCCAGTATATGATAAAACCGCAACAATTTGCTGCCCAATCGAATGGAGATGCCGTAAGCTTTGATACAACAATGCTAATTTAAATATACATTCATCCAAAGAAATGCACAAGAAAATTGATTTACGTTTTGTATTTTCGACAGCCACACCGACTGATGTAATCAAGAAGAGCGGAATTCCTTTGTCCAGTGATCGTAAGATGAAGTGCCAATTCGGTGAAAAATCACTCAATTTACTGGATCAAGTTTTGTACGAAGATGGAGATAAATTAAATTGCAAGTGTTATATCCCACCAATGGTGCACTGTTTGAAGAATGCTGTAGTTTAAATAAAATAATTCTAATACTATTCGAACCGAACAAAAATAAATTGTCAATTCTCTAACACAAATTAATTTAAATTCGACTTATGTTATTGGTATGGTTTGTTCAATTTTTGGTTTTCAATTGACTTTCGATTTTTTTTAAACAAATTTTGAAAAACTATTTTGAAAAACGGACTTTCTGCTTCGTATACTCGATTTGTGTTCAAAAAAATACCGTTTACAACAACGCCAACACCTTTTTTCAAAAAAAAAAAGTTTTTGGAACCTTATATCAAAAAAACTGGTCTCAGTAATAAGATTAAAATTATGATATGATATATATATATATGCAAAAATGGCATGCAAAATTATTCCCATCCAATGTTAGTTTATTTATTTGGTACTGAAAAGTATGTTCATTAATAAATGCATTCTCTTCATCAAACAAAACTACACAGTTTTGTCACTTTTCTTTACTCCAAATATCCATTTTCTATTCATAACATTGAATTTTCCACACATTTGAATTTGAGTCAATTCGAAAATTTTCATCTAAACTATGAATGCATAATTAATTTGGCACATTGTTTGAAAAATGATCATGCATGATAAAAAAAAAAATAATAAAGTTTGTCAATGCAAAATCTATGCCATACATTTTAATTTTGTAAGAGAAAAAAAAGAAATTGAAATATCATGTCATATTTTTGGAATTATATTTGGATTATTATTGTTCGCCTCAGTGGTGGAGCAAGCAATATCAACGGGAGTTGAATCAAGCGTTTTTTTTTTAATGTTATGCTCAAATGCGATTATACAGATTGGTCATATAGAAACACACGTATGTCCATCAATATTATGCACGTATTGCAAACGTCGCGATCCGGTAATTATCTATTCAATGTTAATTCAAAATCCAATTTTATTAGGTGGTGTGATTCAAAACACTTCGTTACATCATTTATGTATGGTTTCCGAATTGGAGATGTAAATCTGATACGAATCACACAATTTATATGCGATTTTAATTAAACATTTTGACGAATACGATATGAAACATATAATACGATTAAATGTAACTCGAATTTCTCATCCTGTATATTGATCAACTTTTTATGATTTATGTTCGTTTAAAAGGAAGATTCATCACAAATTCGATATCACTATTAGTATCGTATTTTTGTATAAATTATAAATTTCATATTTAATTATATGCCGATGTGTTAGCTGTTAGTGGACTCAACGTTATTTCATTTATGAAGTTATATATTTCATGGGAAACCAAATGTTTACAAAGAATATGAAAATTAGCTTATTCTCTGGTGAATGACTCAGTACATTATTCTTGATAAAAATTAAAATATCCATAGAACAAAAGTTATTTAGTGTGCTTGCCAGCTTACCTATTGATAGGTTTTTATTTTATGGAAGCTTTAAACTTGCGTTCGTTTTGTTTGTTTGCAGTGAAACAAAGGTTATCAAAGCGAATTAAAACTTTCCTCCAATATTATTATGTATTACGCTTCGGGGCTTCATTGCGTGTGAGATTTTACTCGCAAAATTTCCTTATCGTTGCTACAAATTTGCTGTTCTTGAGTGCGAAATCACATACTCTCTGCAATTTAAATTACATGAAATTATGTATCACTGTATCAGTAAATAGTTTCGGATGTTTTATTTTTTATTTGCGTCATTTTGCGCAAAGTCAGTTTATTTCCAGAACATTCTGTTTTACATAAGTTTCAAATTGTTTCAGGAAGTTTGGTCTAAACACTGAATTTACTGAAATGTTAACGAAACTATGAATTTCTAATTTGAATACACAGATTTGGACTACAATTTTAAACGTACTCACAAACTGCTTATTCGAACAATGCCATTGAAAATTTGTTGGATGAATAAATCCATTCCATTTGAGCAATAAAATTCAATATACGTATATTCTTTTTTAAGCACTTCCAAATTGAGTTTCAATGTATTCATTTTCGGTGAACTATTTTCAATGAAAAATACTTTCAATCGTATAATATATTTTCGATTTTCGTTATTCATTTCGTATGATCAACTAGTTTTTGATTTGCATTGAAATTCGAAATGATCTTTTATAAATCAAATAATCATATTCCATGACCCATTCGATTGAAATTTCTATGCGTCGTATGTTTTTGTACCAAAAAATGATCAGAAATCATTGTCATGCTAATAATTTTAATTAATTCACAGGGTTCTTTTAATTTATGAAAATATGCGTTGTGCAACGGAAAGATGAAGCACTCAATAATAACATATAATTTTTTCGTTGATTTTTTTCTCTCTTGTATAGGGTGAATAATTTGCAAGGCTGTTATAAGATTGGATTAGCACTTAAGTCTCAATCTCTCTCTCTCTTTCTCTGCTATTCAACGCGTATATTGTTCGTAGGGAGTATCCTGAATAAACAAAGATTATTGTAGTGCATTTCATATATATTCAAGCCAGTGATTACAGCATGCGTTCTTTGTATTTTGAGCAGCACATTGTACAATGCCAACCGAGTACACAAGGAGGGTGGTGCACACACATTCTATGATGAAAATGGGTAGATAAATCCCGATATAAACGGGCACAAAATCATTCGTTTGGAAATTTCAAGTTTCAAAAGATGACAATGATGTTATTTCTTGTTCACAAAATCACAAAATTTAATTTTACCACGAAAAGTTTCAATTCGCATTCTAAAACCAAATATACATATCCCAGAAGTTGTATATTCTTTCTTCATTTTTCCATTGAATATGACGAAAACAACAACAACAGCGTGGTAGATTTGCATCATGATGACACATAGTGGCTGCCGTCATTGCAAAAAAATGAATCTGATTATCGCATATCAAACGTCAAACTCCTGCTTTGAGTGGAGTGAAATTGCATAGTCGTGAATTGCAATAAACATACCAGGCTTATGAATTTTTTCTCTGACTGGTATTCGCACATAACAATGAATAGAATAGACCCAGAGCAATAACAATATCAACGCTTAGGCAGACCTTCAATCATTTGATTATCACAGAAATATTGTGCTCAACAGATTGATTGTTATAGAATGGATTTATTTTATGTTTCTCGTTCTTTCCTTGGAATGGTAGAAGGTAAAGAGCGAGATCTGTTCAATTTGGGAAGTAACGATCTATGTGTGTTCGTTCGCGTTTGTTGTAATGTAAACTGAGTGAAAAAAGCATCCTGTTGCAGTAATATTTTGAGGAAAATATGAGCTATTTTTTCGCCGTAAGGATTCATATATCGTATTTGAATTTCGCCTTCTGTCAGAATAAAATTAAATAAAGAGGCTTACGTACGCAAGCTGACTTTTCCGCATGGAACCAAAATTTTGGGAATAAACAGAAATTATGGTTGCAGTAACTTAAATTACCGTGAAAACTTGTGAATATTATTTTTTTTATCAAAATAAATAATCACACCAAATTTAAAGAAATTTCAATCAAAAAATAAAATGTCTTACATCCTTAAGATGAACTTTTCCGCACTGTGATCCACAATATGTATTTATTACAAACCTTTCAATCAAAGAATTCACGAGAAAACTGAATCTGACATTAGTTTTACGATACAAAAAATTTTCGAAGCACTTTTCATACAAAAACTACTAAAAATGGGAATTTTTGTATCGGAGCCATGCCTATATGATATCGTAATCACGTGAAAATTTGCAGAGGTTATTTTTTTCACAAAAAGTTAACATTCTGATAGTTTGAAGAAATTTCAATGCATATTAAGGGTACTTCCCATACAAAATTTCGTTTTTGAGCGAAAAATCCAAAATTTTGTTCGGGAGGTACCCGTATTATGCGTTGAAATGTCTTCAAACTTTCGGAATGTTATTTTTGGGTGATAAAAATAACCTGTACAAAGTTTCAGCTTATTACGATATCATACAGGCATGGCTTCCATACATAAATTCAATTTTTTTGACATTCTTGTATGAAAAGTGTGTCGAAAGTTATTTTTATCGCAAAACTAACGTCATATTCGGTTTTCTCGTACCCAAAAACCCTCCAATACATATTTTTGAGTGTTTAAGAATACATTAAATATCACTTTTGGAAGAAAAATTGAATTTTTCCCATGGATGGCCATGGGCATCACACCAGACATGACACTTCACTCTGTCAACCAAAGTCGCTCAAAATCTAATGGTTTTTATTCCTCGGCACCCCCAATCATCCTGTGAAGTCAGATTTTGAATTACTTTTCTTGTTTGAATGTTATCGTGTTAACTCTATCGTGTGTTTTTTGCGTACAGCGTACAGAGTACAGAGTACAGGGTACCACGCACATACATTCGGACATCGAAAGAACGCTAGGTTCGTGTTCCCCGGCTCCTAAAATACCCAGAAAACATGTTTTTTGAGAGTGTTAATTTTTCGACCGATTCCAATACTTTACCTTACACACTAGGTGTGTGCGGAAAAGTAATAGCCTGTTCAAAGTTTCACATCATAACGGTACCACAAAGGCATGTCTTTCATACAAAAATGAAATTTTTTGTGGATTTTTGTATGAAAAGTCTGTGAAAAATTGATTGCATCTTAAAATTAACATCAGATTCGGGTTTCTCGTACCAAAAAAAAACCCCTTTACATATTCTTTCAGCATTCAAATTGAAAGAATATCATTTTAAGGCATTTCTCTCATAAGTACCTCTTCAGAGTTTAAGTTTTACACCGATCAATCAATGTCGTTGAAAATTTGACCAGATCTATTCCTCGTAGTGCCCAATCATCCCGTAAAGTCAGATTTTGAATTTCATGCCTGAACACGAAACCATCGCGTCACCAAAATGGTTGAAAAATAATCAAAAATTGTATGGATGTGGGTACTCCATCCGGACCAAAAAATTTTACACCGGTCAACAGATATTGCTCAAAAACTAATCAGCACGTCTC